TTTTTTTGGGGGGTAAGGATTTTTTTTTTTTTGAAAAGAACCCTTCTTTTGTTATTGTTTGGGCCCCCCCCCCCCCCCCCCCCCCCACCCGCACTACGTGCGAATCCAGCCTCGCACTGGGGATTTTCTTCCCTAGACTGCGAGAAGTGTCGTTAGCATGTGAACACAACATTATTTCATGTGTGGTGATCAAACTTGAATGATCCCAGCGCAATTGTTCGTGGAACGAACTAATGTAGTGTTGTGCACGTCTTTTTGTTTTTTTTTGTTCTGGTGTGGTTATTTGCACGTAATTGTTTGGTGCAGACATCTAAGGCTTCCAATGACTATCGGTCCCTCGCTCTGCATGAAGTATCATCTTTTGTTCACTCACATTCTCGCATGTTCGTATCTGTTGTCTGTCACTTCCAATATATGTTAATCCATTGCAGTAGCGGATCAGCAAGGGATGAGTCATATTTTCGATAGTGGCCGCTCGCCATACGGGTATATGCGACTAGAAATCATGCTCTGTTGTCATGCCTGTCTCGCTTACATCTTTCCACCCTCAACACTTGCTTTGTTTCTTGTACCACTGGCATGGTGTCGCATGACCGGGCCTCCTTAAAATCGCAGGGTCAAGGCGGAGCTACTTGCCAAGGGCATCCAATGAGAACGCCCCGTCGCGTGGCTTTGCTTCGCGGATTAGAATGCATTCGACGGTTCTGCGTTTGTATGTAGATGGGCTGCTGCTGTGAAGGCATTAGCGAACATGGATGCGCCCGCGGATACGGGATGCGCAAAACCCGTGATGCAGTGACGTTCCTTTGTAGCCAAGGACGGATTCCGACAAGACGAAAGACATCAAGGAACCTGGTGTGGTCGACCACCGCGGCAAGGTAGCTTGTGTCGCACGCTGAGCTGACTTTTCGGGGTCCCGGGGCCTCCACAAATATTCTGGTAGAGAGGCTGTCTTGGCCGAACAGGAATGGCTGGCCCTACCGGAGACATGACATGTAGAGTAGTACCCCGAAGGACCCGTGTCCTTGTTGTTGACTGCCTTCTTTTGTTGCTGAACAATCACGACGTGGACAAATAGGTGTGTGCTCGTGTGTGAAGTGACTATTTTGTTCATGTTTTCCTTGCAATTGGAGGGGCGTGCGGAACAGAAACGTAATTTAATGAGGGACGGGTTTTGAGACTAGCCACGGCGTGCCGTGTGCTTTGGACTTAAGATGCGCGGGTCGTGGCAACGCGCCGTTGTCTTGTTTGTACCCTCGGATGCGGGGCTGTACCCCTCCCCCCCCCCCTCGGCTTTCACCTCTTTTGTTTATTGCGGCGCCCGTACTCAGCGCAGGCTTAGCTCTTCGATGAGCCTAGCACCGTTATCACACTCTTGATCCTGAAAGAGAATTTCATGATTTCATGTAGCGGGGGTGGCTGACTGCGAACCACTGCGATTCAACCACCATTTATTCCGTTGTTCGCTGCTTGTGGGATAGGTTCTAAGTAGGCGGAAGGGGGGGGGTGGCGTGAGGGAAGTTCGTTTGTTGCTCCTCATGCTGAACGGCACGTCCCTTGTTGGAGTCGGGGGGGGCGGGAGGGGTTCGAAATTGAAGCGGGGGGGGCATGCTTGTCCTTGACGGTTATTGCTATTAGAGCACCTTTTGGCCTGGACCAGCTGAGCGTTCTCTCCGTGTGGTGTATTATCGTTCCCGAATGCCGGCCGCTGGTTGGGGTGCCGTTGTGAATGAGACTGTGAGTTGGACTACTGTAGGTCGTCCTTCAGTGCAGAACCAGTACACAATTCCACGACAGTGGCAGGGGATGGACGATCCACGCCCCAGAGCGCAGAACCGCAACAGCAACAAGTCGAGGCTGCGTTGAGCTTTCTGTGCCGCTTTATGAGGACCGCGTTAGTTGCTTGCCGCTGCTCCTGCTGAACCACAATGAACTGCTGTAGGCTCACCTGTGCGGTGTGCTGTGGTTTCGAAGAGTGGTGCTTTTGGCTGGGCCTCCGTACACCCCACCTTTGTTTTGCCTGTCCCGCGGAGAAGCGGGGCAACCTACGTCATCGTTTTGCAAGCATTGGCCTCATCGACGCTATCGTGCGGTATGGTACGAATCACAGTCGAACCGACGGTCAACCACGAGGGTTTGATGCCTATCGCACGCTACAGGGTGATTTCGCGAGGGCAAATGAGCACCGATGGCGTATCCCCTCGGCCGCGAGGCCCGTCCAACATCGTGGGGTGGTGCGTTCGGGGGCGGGCGGCAAATGTTACTGCTGTAACGGAGATACTGGGGTACCTGGTTGTGGCAACGGCGACGCGCCAGGCAAAGATTTTGGTGTATTTCTGCCCTTGTGCAGTCGATGCCTTGTAGCGAAGGAACCAGCTCTAGTCCGGTTCGCATTTTTTTTTTTTGCAAAGCTTCCTTTTTTTGACTGCCGTTTTGGTGTGGTCTCTAGCTGCTCCTGGATAAGCAGGCGTGGAGAGCTCTTGACAGCAGCAGTGCCGGTAGAATCGTGTCACTGCCCGGCGTAGTGCCGATGATATTGCGGGGTACAGATGAACGTCGTGCCGGCACGACTGATGCTTGCGTTTTTTTCTGTCCCTCGGTTGTTCTTTTATACTTTGAATAGTGCCGGTCCCGCCATCGTGCTGATGATTTTGTTGGGCATATACCCCTGGGAGAGGAGCTGGAGGTGAAAGAGGGCACTGTTGACAGCCCTCACTGTAATCTTCGATGTGCTCTAGTGATAGTGTTCCTGTTTAGCAAGCGGCTACCTGCTGGTCCGTGCGTAGGTTTCAACCCAAAAAAGTAGCGGAGGGAGGGAGTCGACAGAGAAAAAAATGTTTATGTGGAGTATTGATGGTTGTGTGGGCGTAAGGTTGTTCGTCCCATCTTTTCTGGCAGCCAGTCTACACACCTTTCGGCGTACCTTTCAGATGGATCACCGGGGGGGGGTCACGATAGTGCAACAAAAAAGATGGACGAGCCGAAGTCTGTGCGGTGGCAGAGCAAGCGGGTGAAAATAAAGCAATTGTAGACTATGAGACTCTTTGTAGACAACGCGACGTGGAAAAATTTATCGACGAACGCTCCCAGATATTACAGGGCCGTGGGTGCAACCATATTGGCACGGAGTGTTGGTTTCACTTCTGTCCTGTGGCGACTTGCATTCGTTTCGTTGGTCATCGTCTCCTTCAACGTTCTTGTGTGCTGAAGTCCTGTCTCTGACATGATGGTTGTTCGCACACCGACCAAACCCGGCATTAACTGTTCGTTGAACACGTGGCCTTGTTTGTGGAATTGCGTTAGCGACCTCGCCACCGGCATGAATTCAACCGGCCTAGTGCCGGAGTCGTGTGGCTGGCCTCCCTGCAGCAGCTATCGTTCGGGAAAAAATTCAGTAAACCTGTCGACGAGGTTGTGTGGTCAGCCTCACTGGAAGAGTTATCGCTCGCGGCTCATTTCACCCAGCCAATCACTGGTATCGCGTGGCCGGCCCCCCTACGGAGTCTGACGCGGTTTGGGGTGAGAGCCTGGTCTGAAGGCGTCTGTACTCTGCAACAGATGCGGCCAGCGCGCTTCTTCCCACGCCAGGGTGGCTGGGGGATTTCATTGTATTCGCACTTTTGCTTGGTAGACAGGGCTGCGAAGGTAAATATTGTAAGGAGAGACACCACAAGGGTCCTTGCAAGGAGCGACTGCTTGTGGTCAGTGGCCTTGGCATGGCCGTCCAGATCAACATAGGTGACGAGGGGTGGAACCATCACGAACGCCATGCGTTCGTTGCTGTGAGTTTTGAATCGCCTAGTCCCACCCCCTTTGCCTGGTGAACAAAACACAAGAATAATGATCCCTTCGGTTCCAGCTTAGGTATGGGTGTCTGCATAAGTCAATTCGCCACACGAAAATGCTTAATATTCAATCTCTCTGCGCCTCAAACCGCAGGTCTAGGGTGTGCCTGTGAGCAAAGAAGCACATCCTTAGGGGTCGCAATACGACGCACGCGAAATACTACACCTTTGTTGCGCCACCCAAAAACAAAAACATTACAATTGTATCCAACGGACAATCAAATGCAGTGGACCGCGAATTTCCGGTTACGCTCCTGACAGGCGCTATCCCTATCAATCGAACCAAGCATCGCCTACATCTATCCGGGAGCGAGGCATCTAGACTATATCCTTCCTTAGCCTCGAACAAATCCATCAGGATCATCACACACAAACTTTGCCTGTTGCCACGACGACTCAGCCCCGTTACAGATCAGCCCTATTTTTCGGAGGCGTCGATAACAAAACGCCTTGTGAGCTGTATTAATAGTGGCTATCACGCTGAGCTCAATCTTCATTCCACAAAATCGGAGTTCGCTACATAGTCTCCGACCACATCTTCCTGTCTCATCTCAGAGAAAACCTCGGAAACTCGGGGTTGTGCGGCCGACTCAATGCCTTCGTTTGTTACTTCTACTCTTCGAGAGTTTTGGGTTGGTTCCGAATGTGTCATGCCCTGTTGCACCTCAACGTCCATTCATTCCAGATTGTTTCCCCTATCACTCCTGTGTGACAGGAGTTGAGCTCGGCATCGACCGGGTGCCGCCTCGAGATTTAATCGTGTTACATGTCAGGATATCATGCCCTAGATTATATTTTCATGCAGTTCTTCCTCTACAAAACAAAGCGAGATGCTGCCAGCCCACACGTCGAAACATAATTCTAATTCTTGCAAAACGAAAAGAGTGAAAACATTACAGCGTTTAGTAACAGAAAACTCCTTGCCCCCGTGCGTTCGGCTCGTTCAAGGTTCAATTTCCGTTGCCAAACATGAATATTGACGAGATGTTAATCCAATCCCCTGCACGTTCGCTGTCACCCCTGAAATAACCAACCAGTCCTCAATCAACCCCAATCAACGTTCACTCGATTCCGTTCAGTAGTAGTCGGTCTCTTTCGACCAAGGGTCGTCATCGTCACCCCCTCGGTCATCTCCCAACCCTCCGCTCTCAGCGCTACCCCGCCTGCTACGGCTTCCTCCACCGTCGCCGTCTTCCTCGTCGTACTTGCCCCCGGCCTGGCGCAACATCATCAAGATGGCTTTGGTTGTAAGACGTAATGCAAAAACCGCATTCTAGCCGTTTACGAGAATGGGCTCAAGTTCTGGTACTTTGGGCATACATTTCACGATTGTAGCCGCCAAAATCTCAAATGGCGGCCGAATCAACAACAGCCCCACCGGTATTTATGGTGTCCAATTAACCTCCCGCAGATGGTGTCGTTTCGAACTTTTGGGCAATCTGCCTAGAGAACGAACATACGTGTCTGAGTCATCGAAGGCCCAGTAGAGTCTCCTAACTCGACAGGGTCAAGGTATGAAGAATCTTCTTGGCGGGGCAGATTCACAGGCATAATATCCACATTTTTCGGAGTCTTGGTCTTTTCTTCGTAAGTTAAAACATGATTTCCGTTCATATCGTTATCTTGCACGGAATTCGCTCCGCAAGGCGAGACAAGGAAGGTTCCCTCCCCCGTGTGCGCGCCCATGCATGACTCACCTTTTGCTCGCCGCCGTTGTTGTTGTGGTTTCGGTCGCCGCCCTCTTCGCTTCCATCGCCACTGCAACCCCCCTCCTCTTCATCTTCGGGACATCAGCAGCAACAGGAGCGAGTAGTATAGGGATTTGTCAACGCAGTCAACGGCGTTCGCAGAGAGGCCACGTTTCACTCGTTTCAAAGTGCAAATACGTTTGGATAGCAAAGCAGCGAGCAACATCACAGTCATCTCCAACTACATCTACAAATACATTAAACGACGATAGCAGCAACAACCATAACAAACTCAGCAAACCCATCACATGGCGCACGAAGCATACGCAAAGTGATGGGGGGCGAAAAAGAAGTTAGGCTTAGCACCTATAACAACAGGCCGGAACAAAGATGTAAAGGACGACAACCTGCCGCTGCTTCGGGAGCCCTCCAGGTGTGGCGCAATATCGAAGCACCAATAATGTACATAACACCTGTGCAGTTCCACGTTGACTGCAGTAAACAGGCCCACAACCGGCGGTACGGTACTGCGAAACCTATGGTGACATTCGCGCAACTGGTGACATGTAAGGATTCGTAGGGCACGCTGTTCGTGGACTGAGTGTACTCTTCCGATTGAGAGGGCTGAGGGTGCACCGAATACTACGCATTCTGTCTCAAGGCACCAGGGAGGAGATATTTCTCGACATCGACACTCACCAGAATCGTATTTTGACGCCTGTTTCTTTGTCCCCTTGGCCCCCGCATACCGGTCCTGTTCAATGGGAATGCCAGGTAGGGGAGGACCGTAGCGGTTGTTCGCAAGAACTTCGTGTTACGAGACAGGCATCAATTTCTTGAACTGATCTGAACCCCTTAACTACCACACATTAAGTGATATTGCTTGGCGCAGCTCGTGATCAGCCATGTACGTCGCGCCTTTATGTTCCCCCCAAGGACGACCGGCTTGCAACCGCGGGCCAGGCGTTATAAACATCCCGATGTGACAATGGGCAGCAAAACCCAACCACGAACACCACGCATCGATCGGGCCTCTGGTCAATCTTGACGATAACCCCCATCGAAAGGAACCTTGAAGCAAACATACCTGGGGTATTGGTTACGGTGGTGGTAGATGTTGACACAGCTCAAGCGTGGCAATGAGCCCGTCACTTGTCTATCTAGTCTGCGAGCGTACTGGACCGCTGGAGCCGAGAGCGGCTGCTCGTATTCCGGCTTGCCCATACCACCAACCCATAAACTACATTCACACGTGCATATCCCTCTGAGCTTCGAATGCCCACTGAACACGACCTTGTCGCGCTGAACGCGACCTTGTCCGCGCACGCTACATTTGTTTGCGGTAAGGTCTTCTTTGACGTATTGCGTAATAGCAAAGGAGGTATCGTGAGCTTTATACGAGCGTTGTTCATGCAAATAGCATAGGGTAGCGCAGGAGGCGGGGCGCTGTCGTTGGAGCAATAGAAGAAGAAGCTCACCTCGTAGCTCTTTTTAGCCTGGGCGGTGTCCTCAGGGACGTACTTGTAGCTGGCCTTGTTGTGCATGATGAGCTCGTCATCCACAAAGTAAAAGCTGTCCGACTTGGTCTCAAACGGGTTTGCTATCATTTCTTCGACTTTGTTGTGGTGATGTTTTTTATCGTTGTGTTGGCGAAAACATGGCGGTGGAAGGGTTACGAAAGAGGATGTTAGCAAGTCGGGAACATCGAACAGGAAAACGTCACAATGTTTTCTTGTCCTAGATGCTAAGAACTCTCAAACAGCAAACATGTCTCGGTCAGGAGTTGATTGGAGCGTGGATGTGCTAGACGATGGTTCCCTACAGTGACATTTGACATAGAAAAATAGGAACAACATGCAACCTTAACCTTCCCACCCAAGCTGGGATCGGTTGGGCAATACTCCGGTATACGGCTCGAGGCAGTTTTTTCGTAAGGTTCCTTCCAAGAATAAACCTTTTAAAAGCAATACCGCTCCCCCTAAAATCCTCAAAATCCCCCATGACGCGGGGAAATCGGCAACACTGGACGCTATGGAGACACCGCACAGCAGCGCCAACAACAACAACAACAACAACTACGACGACGACAGAAACAACGATGCACTCACTTAGGTCCTCGTCAAGCGGAGGAACCTGGTAGACCGCGTCCCAAGTGTTCGTGCTCGCAGGGATGCAAAAGCCGAACCCAAAATCGTAGCTCTTGACCAACTAGTTGTTTGGTTCAGAATACGAGCAACGTGCAAGGGCAGGAAGCCAGGTCAGTGTTAGAATGTACGTAGGTGATATCGGAAAAGACATGCGCAAGGAAATCGTATGCCTTCGCGGACAACACGCATACTCGGGTTGGTGTCCGTTACTCTGTTCATTCGTCAATAATGGCAGCGCGTCTACGCATTCTAGCCGTTTGCCGCACGAGTCAACCACTAAACAGCATAACGGGAAAACATGAAAAACCAACGCGGTTACCTTCTCTGCAAAGTATGAAAGGTCGCACGGAGTAGTTTCACAGGCGATGGACACCTTCTCCGTCTCTTTGACATTTGATTTACAGAGCACTCGTGATGGGTCACCATATGATCGAACGGTGCTATCTAAACGTTGGATTGCCAACAATTCGGGGATCTAATCCCGGCATGGCATTGCCGATGATGAGAAACTGCTTGTTGTGAGCACGCACACTCGACTAAACAATTGACGAGGAAAACAGGATAGCTTGACACTTTTCGTGAAAAAATTACCCAGAGGAACTACAGTATGTACAGCTGTGACCCTGGATCGTAGAAATTTCAGCAGAGAAAGCAAGACCGTGCGGTCGGAATATGCTATACACGTTTCAATAGACTAGGTGACAAGCGGTGCAGTTGATAAGCGCGCAACCGTCTGGCGCTTGAGCGTGCGTTGGAACCACGGCCACTGCCAAGTCACACGAGCTGGGATTGTTCCCGCGCTGTGTCCAACCAAAGTTTAGGGTGTATATTTTCGTGAGCACACACAACGTTCGGTTTCAACGTTGACGACCGAACGAAAAAACAGTTTGTTTCTCGCGAGTGCAGAAAAAACAACGAAACCTCCTGTTTGATCTTCCTCGTGTGTGACCCCGGCTGGGGTGTAAAAGAACAAACCGGACATGTTAAAAATCGACGTCCAGAAGAAATGGCATGGCGCACATTCCTACGCCAGATGACACGTTGCACAAACGACATGTTAGAAAATCATGCTTATTAAGGCCGAAATAATGCAAAATATCACCCGCGTTTGTAGTTATTTTGTTTGTGTTCGCCCGATCTCTCGGACCCATGGATTCACGATTACGCCCCCCACACCTTCGCTACGCTTTGCTACGCTTTGCTACGCTTTGCTACGCTTTGCTACGCTTCGCACAAAACTTACGGTTTCCCTTGAAAACGACCCCTCCTTACCTGGTCTCGAAAGTAGTGTCTCTCCACCATTCTAAAGTTTGGTACCTCCTGCTCTCCCACGGAAAACACCAGTGACGTCTGCCCATCCCGACCAACAATCAATCAAGAACAACAAGGTCATACGAAGGGATTGTGAGGTTTTGGAATACGTTTTTCTAGATCCAGTTTATTTTGACATGTACAGGGGTTTTACTGATGGCGCGGGAGGATGAATCACGTGGAAAACGTGATATATCAGGGAGGTCAGCATGCTATCGACCTTTCAGCACGGAGACGAACAGTAGAGCGCTTCCATGCAACCACTAGACCGGGCGTTCGGCAATCGGTGGCCCGCCAAAGCGAATGTCCCCGAACACTCGAATGCATGGCCGCTATAGTACAAACGCAGCTCTATATAACGGTTCTGGAAGGCTCAAAACACCCTGGTCTCCACCCGGACCTTGGTGCTATGCCGGATGAAGTGCGAAGAGTTTCTCTGTCTAAGCACTCCCGATTTCTTGGATTGTCAAGAATGACAAGTACTGGCTAGCGGAGGACACGACAACAGATAGAAAGGTTGGTGAGTGCCACCCCAGTAGGAGCTCACTTGTATCGACGGTAACCGAAGAACATCTTCCGAAAACTCGTACTTGATGAGGCGGTACGCGTTCTCGTCCAGGCTGCCCAAGTCGAGGTCAAGGTCAATCGGAGGCGGGTAGTCCCGCCCCACCTATAGTATCATTTGGTACACAACAACAGTTGTTGCTGTTGCTGTTTCTCATGAAAACTCAAGGAAAAAATGGGCTAGTGTTCAAACTCGGCTCACGAAAAGAGCGCCCGAAAACCGTATGTTCGCATCGACGTCAAGCGACACTCGTCACAACGTAGCTTGTTCGGTGGTTGAGTCAGACATGGCGTGTCCTTTGCCAAAAGTTAGCATCGTAACGTCCTGTTGGTCTCGTTGCGAGTACAGTGGTGATAATGGCGCTGGTCCCACATGTTTGCAGGGTTCACGGGTTTTCGTGTAACGCTTCGTTTAAACACACCAATCGCGCGCGTAGCCAACGAAAAGTGCCTCGATGAAACAAGGAGGAGGGCATAGTCTCTCACAGTCTTCCGCAGCATTCTAGAAATCGCGCATAACACGGCCAAGATGTTCGAGAGCCTCATCTCTGTTCGTGCAAGCTTGGCGCTAGCAATGTGCTTTCGCATTTCAGCTCGATTCTCACCATGAAAATTATGTTCTTGGTAACATAATCGCTGATGGTAAACTCGAGAAACTCGATCTGGTATTTGTTCGCGGAGAGCGCGCACAAAAAATCTGAAACCATCACGCGCGAAAGAGGCAAGGGGTCATGTTGCATGCGAGCAGGTATCGATAACGATTGATTTAATCAGAGATGGTGCGACCACTAGTGGACAAGACTAACACAGCCTTCAGTGTCACAATGAGTCCAGGCTGCGTAGTACTCGCTTTCATCTTTTCACAGCTGTTCGGAGTCTATGGCGTTCTTCGGTCCAATGAACATGTGCCCATTATCCTTATTATCTTTAATACTGTAGGTGAAGGGGTGTCATAGTGGAATCAACCTGCCCCCAACGGCAGTGGCATAATGGAATGTGTTCGAATCTCCGCTGCATACACGAAATCAAATTTGTGACGAGGAAGAACATACTCAACTCTCCTTTGACACTTCGCAGTAATGTCAGCGTTCCGCTGCATACACGAGATCGAAGTTGTGGTGAGGCAGAGCATGCTCAACTCTCGTGTGACACTTCATGGCAAAGGGCGGTTTTCCTGACAAATGTGCCCGCTGTTCCTGGATCGAAAGCCGCATTCATGGAGTGGTTGACGGACAGACCGAGCGACGATGTTTGTGTGGTGTCGCCGCACCGACAATCTAGGTAAAGTATCATGATAAACGAGCGGCGTTGCCCACGCGGTAAATGTGAATTGACATTGCTTATTTTCTTCCACAACGCACGGCGGCGATTTTTTCCGTGGATTTTGTTCGTCCACCTCTATCTCCGTTGTACATAGACAGTCTTTCAGAGCAAGCTCTTTACAACCGCCCGGGTTGATGCCATGACATCTATGCGCTGCAAGGAAATCAGCACATCCCCTGTCCCGCCCCCCGTGTGTAGTCCTTGGTTGGTGCTACATATGTAAGCATGTGTGTGTGGGCGGCTGTGTACTGTTGGATGTGTGTCCCGGATACATGCATGCGTGATGTGACGTGCCATGTCGTGCGATCCGATTTGCTTGGCTGCCTTTGGGGAAATGTATCCGCCTTGTTGATTGCCCTCATGTTCTACTCGTTAGGTACTATCAAGCATCGCATCTGCAGGAGCGATGTTGTGGCGCTGCTTTCATGCTAGGCCGACAAGGACAACAGTCAACACCCTTTGACCGCTTGGACCCTTGAACAAGCTACAATATACCTGCGATGTTCACAGAAGCGTTGAATGAGACCATCCTGCAGTACTGAACGTGACGGCACGGGGTTCGGTGGCGGTGCTTCGTATCTATCGCTCGACGAAGACACAGTCCCTTAGAGCTTGGAATTGCAGTCGGATCTTTAAACCAGCCTCGTGTGATTGCATACATACCTTTGCTTGGCTTGGTGAACTGTAAAACGTCAGCAGGGCAGACCCGAGGAAAAGATCTTGGCGATCTGGGAGACGAAGACATGGTTTTCGTGAAACCCAGCAGCTGTCACCACCGCAAGTGCGCACTACTAGCTTCCGTGGCGAGGTGTAGCGACTGCTGCCTCGCTTTTAACCTTTCCACAAGGCGCGGCAGCTGCCACATATGGATATGACCGAGGATAGAGGCACCGCTGACGGTTTCGCAGAAAATACGACGAGAGGCGGAAGGCGTGCGTCTCGCGGACAGGTTGGTCCGATTCTGCGGTGCCCCGTGGCTTGCCGTCGCGCTCTTGTTGTGGGTGTGCTCGCACACGCACATCGTCTCTCACACCCTAGACGCCGTCGCAAATCCCTTTGCTCTTCGCTAAAACATGAGCTACTACAACAACGACGGTGGTGGTGGCGGGTACGGAGGTGGTGGCGGATACGGGGGTGGTGGGGGCCGTGGTGGCGGCGGATACGGCGGTGGTGGATATGGAGGAGGAGGAGGAGGAAGGGGTGGCGGTGGCAACAAGCGCCCAGGGGATTGGTGAGACACGAAGCAAGCGTGTATGGGAACGCCGTGATGATTGGACAGGGGAGATCGCGCGAGATCTACCCTCATATGCGTGGGTGGCTTTGTGTTGATTTTTCCTGGCTACCGATCTACATGGTTTTACTTTCGTGTGTGCGCACCGCGCAATTTTACATATCTCTGTTCACATCGATCGCCGTTCAGCACCGCACAACCTCCCAAGCATTTTTTCGAAGAGCATGGTGCCCTGGTCTCCCGTTCGCACGAGTAGTACCCTCATGAGATTGAACGTTCTTGCCACGACGAGCACCTCTCGTAATGTGGCCACGAATTCTGCTTTTACCTTTGCTCCTGCTCTCTTGCGCGCTGCTGCAAATGGGTGACAGGAGAGACCCGCGAGAATCCCAAAACAGAACCTCCAATCATTGCTCCGATGAAAAAAAAAAATTCCAAGCCGCTTGCGCAGCCTTTACCGTCAAGCTGCTGTAGAGGCATGAGCGGACAGATAACGCGCTTCCCGTGGGGTTGCTTCGCTGATTGTGTGCTGACGTCTCACGCACTAGCGCACTTGTGCTTCATTCAGTGGCAGAGCACCGGATGCTGGTGAACAGGAAACGCGAGACCACAGACTCTCTCTTTTTCCGAACCGCGCGGACCCTTGCTGCCAAATGCAAATGAAAGAACACTGCGGCCAAACACCTAGAAGTACATATTATAGAACACCCCGGTGCAACTGCCGCTACTAGCACTGCCATCCAGCGAGAGAGAAAGAGATAGAGGGGGAGGGGGGAGTTGCTCCGAGCTCTCATGTCTTAACATAAGTATGCATCATGTACACTGGTTTACGTACACTCGGTCTACATACATCTGCATCTGCACCCAGTCTGCTTGGTACTAATGTGTATGTGGAATCGTGGCTTACTACTTATATTTTAGGTTGCATTTTTTTCTCGACCCATTATGCGTAAATGGATGCCCAGGATCAATTCGTGATGGATTCACCGTGTTGTCATGACCCATGTGTTTCTACCAGCTGGTTTCTACCGTTCCGTTGTTTTCATCGCGCAGAACCTTTTATTCAGAAGGGCTCCTGTCTGTGTGACCCCGGCTGATGCCTAACCGAAAGGTGCATGGTAGAAACTGACACGCAAACTTTTAACTTTTACAGCAGTCGAAACTCGGTAAAGGATTGTCAGGTTTGAGGACACCCCCGAAGACACTAAATGTTTTTTTCCCATGACACAGGGACGAATGGAAGAAAGGCTTACTCAAACTCAAAATAAGCCAAGTCTCCTGTCGGTGTCAATGCACGTACTGAAAAGACTTCACCACATCCCTTTCGACTGAGGTTATACATCATCTCGAACGGGTAGTCGTTCTGTGAGGTTATGTTTACTTTCTAAAAATCCCCAACGTGGATCTCGCTGCTTGCTGTCGAAAAACACGTACTCCCAAAGCGAGAGCGAGAGCGGCTGCTCGTGTGTCGGGGGACAGCAATACATGAGTACTGTCGATCTCTCTCGGCTGTTGCCTGCTCGTCTGGCGGTCGTATGCGTCCACCATGATGACACGCGGAGAACGAAACACGCCTGATGAAGTCTGTGCACATCACATGAGCGCACCAAGACCCCTTTGCGGGTGGGCGATGGTTTTGTGATCGAGATATCGGAGAGAAAAACGAACTTGTCGCGGAGCAAATAGAGTACACACACCTGTGTCAAAAAAGCGGACAGCACCTAGCTTTGGAATGCTGTGCATTTGTACACTTGTGATACTCAAGCAAAGCGTAGAGAAAGGAATAGGGGGAGATACCGGCAGCTCTTCGCGACGAATGGGGCGAAATTGAGTTCCAACATGCGTCACCGGCGGTAGTAAGAGCGTTATCGCCATGGGTTTGGGGCAATCTGTTATCCTTTTCCTAATCCCTTCCACTATCTTGCAGTCGTGCAGGATGTTGATGTACTGGTATAAGCGAAAGCGTGTTCAAAGACAACCAAGCAACTCGATTCGAGTTTTGAACAAAACTCGGCCCCGGGCTTCCGGCCGGCCTTTCGTGCTTTAGTCTACTTCCCTGCCAAAGGCGCATCTGTTGAAGGTATTTCATGTCTCCATTGCCACCGGGGATGTTTAACTATCTTCCGGTGAACGTTAAGGACATGTCCGTCCGTGAAGGACACGCTTCAAATGGGAAAACCATCTGTGTGGACTCCCCGAGGTTTGATTGTAGATGGTAAACACACACAGTGTTTTGTGTTTTGTGTTTTCAACCACACTTGAGACTGACGTCTTCTCATTGGTCAGCCGGTTAAGCGCGGTCGATGCTAGTAAGAAAGACACCACACATCCAAGTCCGGGTTCGTCGGAAGCATCGGCCTTGCCATCACGTTTTCGTCGCGTATCCGTCCTTGTCTCTGTCCCGGCGCTGCTGCCTTGAAAATCGGGGCTAGCGCTGTCTGTCCCTCACGGGCCGGTGAAGACAGGTCGGCGAAAGTCCTCTTAGCTGCCTCTCCGGGCTGGTTTGCGTTTACTATTTACAACTTCGCACACAACTTGACCAAGTCACTGGTGTCCCTCGTACCTGTCGTCATGGTGTCTGTTGTCGCCAACGAAAATGACGATGCAGGGAATGCCCCAGCTGCGGAAACAACTGCTTTGCCTCTCGCAGCGAGTGCAACCGCTGCCAGACCCCCAAGCCGGCCGGGGCGGGCGGTGGGGGCGGTGGCTATGGCGGCGGCGGTGGCGGCTATGGCGGCGGTGGTGGCGGCGGATACGGTGGCGGCGGCCGTGGCGGTGGCGGCGGCCGTGGCGGTGGCGGGAGGGAGGGCGACTGGTGAGATTGGTGCAGATGTGAAGAGCGTATGTAACTCCAGGATGGTTAACTTTGGGTACTGGTGTTGCTGCGAGTTTTAGGCTTGTGCTCCGCCGGTGTGTTTATTTTCGGTTTAGATACAACATTCCACACTAATTCCAGTATGCTAACACACACCGACAATTAACAGACTGGCAATCAGCGGCGGAGCACAAGTCGCAGCGAGTTGTGTCGAGCTCATGGTGCGCATGTATTAGGGTATTTTTTTCCGAGAGCGGAGGTGATGAAAATGACGGAAGCTTGCCCGCTTGCGATCATAGGCGTGTAGGGGTGGTTACGTCGCAGCATGATCATCTGTCCCGATCGTGGGAGCCAGTGCCCAGCGGTTGTGTAAGCCATCTTGCCGAGCGTTTGTGCGCCTACCTCAAGCCCACACTTTTCTTGAACATGACTGCTGATTCTATTGCAGTGTTGGGCACCGCATCCCACACACCCATACACCTTAGAAACCGCGGGACATTCCCAGCTCTATGCGGCGTCACGGTCCTCGCATCTGTCGCAGCCGAGCTCTGCATTCCGCACACCCTTACTGCTGTTCTTTGACGAATAACAAGAGTACCCCCCCCCGATGAACAACAAAATATGTTGTCCGCTCGTCAGGACTTGCCCTAGCTGCGGCAACAACTGCTTCGCCTTCCGCCAAGAGTGCAACCGCTGCCAGACTCCCAAGCCTGGGGGAGAAGGTGGTGGTGGCGGCGGCGGCGGCGGTGGGTACGGCGGCGGCGGGCGTAGCGGTGGCGGTGGGTACGGTGGAGGCGGTGGTCGCGGTGGGGGTGGCGGCGGCGGCGGAAGGGAGGGAGACTGGTGAGGGAGAAATAGATACCTGTTGTTGTTGTTGTTGTTGTTGTTGTTGTTGTTGTTTATGTTGTTTTGTTGTTTTTGTTGTGGGTGGTGGCGGTGGTGATGGCGACGTTGCTTGGAGACGAATTTTGCAGGGTTTTATCTTGATCTGGAAGGCATTGTAGTTGTTGTGCTGCTTCGGTGAGTTCGCCCAAGAGACGAGAGACGGAGGACCTATTGTCACAATTGTCAGTTGTCCTTGCGTGGTTCATGTTGTGATTGTCATTGAAATGTTCCACTCGCCTTGGTAACCTCTTCCTACCCCTCACGCACTCCGGTTCAAGGAGGAAACCTATCCCCCCGCCCCCGTTTTTTTTTTTTTTTTTTTTGTTCGCAAGAGACCAAAAGCAATGATGTGCCAGATAGCCCAAGAAACGTGTCGACGGCCATGATGCTAAAGAGTAGTAGTTTGGGTACCGCGGCCCCCACCTCCATGCTCTTTCCCTAACGAGGAGTAGTCTGGTGGGACAAGCAGCAGTCCATGGGGAAGAGCCTCCCGTTCACCCACTGCGATGATTGAAACCCTAACCCTATCATGGTGTTCCAGCGGGTAAGTACCGCGTTGATGACAAGCCCTGCCTTTGGTGCGGCGGTCCGTGCAGTCGGTGGCTGCAGTGGTTCTGCGCTCTCTCTTGTCCCAGACCCATCGTTTGGAGGCTTTTTTGCTCAGTCTGTGTGCAAGACCCTTGCTGCTTGGCTTGCTGCGGCAGAGACCCTCGCTTGTTTTTGCACGCGGGCAACAGCTTCATCGCGCTCTCGTACAGCATGGAACACCCGGCACCAAGCGTTGACTCATATATCACATCAGAGCGTTATCCTTGTCTCTTTATCAATTTTCGTCACAACCAATCCATCTCTATCCATAAATAAAAGGGCCTAGGAAAAATTGGCAATGGTTTCATAGCATTAGCTCATAGCGGGAACATGCGACTCGTGTCTAAGCTTCGGCCGGTTTCCCCCCCCTTTTTTCGGACATGACATGCACACAGGACGTGTCCCAGCTGCGGCAACATCTGCTTCGCCTTCCGCAACGAGTGCAACCGCTGCCAGACCCCCAAGCCTAACGGTGGCGGAGGCGGAGGCGGAGGCGGGGGCGGAGTCGGCCGCGGCCGTGATGAAAGGTAGAGTCCCGTCAAATACAGCGTGGCTTGCTCCCATCTTAAACGTGATATCATTTTTAATCTTTGGTGTGTCGACATGATGAGCGTTGTACTAGTGTCGGGCGGTCCGATGTCCGAAACCATATACATGACTTTCTTGCGATGCGGAAACTCGTGTACATAAACACACACACGCGCGCGGCATCGGCCTGCCGTGTGAGGATGTTTGGTGCTGGCAGCGTCAGCGTCTGCGGCGTCCTGTCGTCCTCCGGGTTGACATTGATTGTGTTATTTTCCTCTCTGAGGAGGGGTGGCGCATTCGACGAGCCCGACCCCATCGACTCCTCCCGGCCTTAGCCCGAGGGCCGGCCCGAAGGGTGAGGAGCCACCTTTCCCCAGCACAGAGAGCGGCCAGCAACGTCATGCAACGTCATGGGGCGCATGGCAGACGTGAGTTTTGAGGGTCGTCAATGCTACCGCGCCTTCGGCGAAAATGGGCGCCAGAGAAAGAGAAGAGAGAGGGAGAGAGGAGGTGTGGTCTGCTCTGCGCCGGGGTTTTCCCACCGTTGTAAGCGTGTTTGTTCTCTTCGGGTGGTTTTTGCGGAGGACGAGGTCGTCATGAGCTTTGTGGTAGTAAAAAGAGGGCTCTTTCTCACCAAACGTAAATACACTTCTGCACACGTGGTGGGCATTATTTTTTCCTTTTGACACCACCTCTCTAGCTGTCGGTTCTTTGCTACATGCCGGCCCTTCGTCTACATGGCCCCCTGGCGTTTGAAACATCCGTTCCACGTAGCGTAGGGCCCTCCGGTTTCGGCTACTAGAGAGAAAGGTCTCCCTTGCTTGCTTGCCGGCTTGTTCTTTCTCTTTTTTTCGGGGACTTGTGCTCTATTGTACCGCATGGAATGACCGCGTGAAGTGCCCAAGCCAGCGCTCTTCTGGGATCGTTTGTTGTAGTTCGGACTTCACCGACGTGGAACGTGTGTGCTCATGTGATGAGAAAGAGTTGGATATGAGCCCGAGTAGTGTCGCGGTTGAATCGATGGCGTCGATGCCGGGATGCTTCGTAAACCCACCTTAAGCTAGCGTGCGTCTATCTTTTCTTTGGTTGAGCCCGCCGCGAAGATTGTTGTGGTGGAGAAAGATTTGTCGTTATTGAGTGTGGTCTGGTGTAAAACGCTACCGGTACTCTTGGAAGAAGCGAGAGCCAGTTTCGGTGGTACACTTGCTTGCAAGACTGTGGATGTAGTCCGGCACGTGTGTCTGGTGATTTCAACCCTACCACATGACAAGAAAGGTATTTGTGCCAACGCGGTCTTTTTTTTGTTTTTTTTTGCGCACGTGTCCCCTCTCACCCGCCGCCATCGACGCACAGGCTTGTTCCAACGACCGTCGCAGCTGTCTGACCTGACCCCTGATGCGCCCGCACGCCGAGCGGGGGAAATTGGTCTGGGGTGGCTGAGGCCTTCTCCAGCCGGGGGGAATTCAAAACTATCCGAAACAACTAGAGAGAGAGAGAGACACGAGTGTGTACTTGCTCATGCGCACGCTTGGCGTTAGTGGCAATTTTGCAAGTCAGCAGAAGTGTCACCCAGCTGTAGAAGGTCGGGAAATTGTCAACATGTGCAAAGTTGTTTGTGTAGGTGTTGCTCAGTGTAGTGGTCCATGATGAGCGAACCGTGTGGCCCTACGTGGGTTCAGCACACATGTGGTCGACGCCGGCTTGTTGATTTGTGTCGTCACCGCCTTGCCTCACGATCTCCCCTGTTATTGTGCCGCCGCATGCCATCGAGCGTGTCGTGTACTGCGAATTGCCCAATGTACAGCTAACGCGGAAGCCTTGCTTTCCTTCTTTCTCCCATCTCGTCCGTTGTGTTTGAACGCACGTTTCTGAGAGCCTAAATCGGACTTTCAACAATTTTCCACCTAGAGGCACCCCAAACCCGTCACGTGCTGATAGCAGCTTCTGCACACAACCTACTCGCAAGTGTACACAGCAGGGCCCAACGGCGGACGCTGGCACCTTGTTCTCTCCCTCGCTTATCCCTGCCCCCCCCCCCGCCCACGATGTGTTTTAACCTGCGTGATTTTCGTCAAAGCAGGTCTCCTCCCCGCCGCAGGGAGAGGTCGCGCTCTCGCTCGAGGGACAGGGGTGGAGGTGGCAGGGATCACGGTCGGGAGGAAGAACCTGCCGGCACGGAGTCCACATGGTACGTCGAGATGCGGACGAATCACACGATCGGGTAGTCTTTCTGTGTGTGTCTTTATTATTCCTTATCACTCTTGATGCCCCCACCCCCGCGATGCCAATGGCGGTCAGTAAATACGGCCGTGCCCTCTAGAGGTTGTCTTGATGCCCCCCCCCGCGACGCCAACAATGCCGTGAAAAGGGAGCAACACACAAGTATTAGTTGTGTGTTTGAACTGTGTCGCGGCATGCGTGCGTTTCAGCGATGCCGTCGTAGTTACCGGTCCACGGAACCTTGTTTTGAGGAGCCCGCCTTAACCTTGGCCTGCCGTCGGTGGCGCGTTTTATTGGTTTTTCAGCGGCAAGGATTGCGGAGACGAGTGCGACAACAACCGTGTCTACGTGTCCGGCCTGCCCACGACCATCACCGAGACCGACCTGGTGGAAAAGTTCAGCACCATCGGCATCATCGCCCGCATCCGCCAGGCAAGTGGTTTTCGTTGGTTATGGCAACTGCTTGAGGGCCACCCGCACGGCATTTTATGTATGAGTTTTCGTGGATGGTGCGATCGCTTTCCGCGGGGCCTCCTGCAGCCTCTGTTGATGTGTGTGCGCCCGTCAGGGAGGTGGCTATGTGAACGATGGTTTGCTAGACTCAGATCCAGGGGTTGCGGTTTTCCCTTGTTCTCGTAAGTGTTTCTGATAACAAAGTGGGGGGTGCACCTCATGAAAATCAAGACGCCGATGACTATCGTCACTCGCGTGCGAGAGCAATCGTTAACCCTGGGTGAGACATTGCTACCGCAGTACACTTCCAATTCCACCGACATTCCAGTAGATTATGGGTGTAAGGCACATGGAAATCCCGCGGATGCTCCAGTTCCACCGACATTCCAGTAGATTGTGGGAATAAGGCACGTGGAAATCCCGCGGATGCTCCAGTTCCACCGACATTCCAGTAGATTGTGGGAATAAGGCACGTGGAAATCCCGCGGATGCTCAACTTCTGCTGCCGCTGACTCCCCCCCCCACCCGCCTACCCCCGTCTCTCTCTCTAAATATCCTGCGCTTGCCGAGCAGAAGAGGGGCTACAAAGACCAGTGGCCGTTCTCCGTCCGCATCTACAAGGACGACAACACGGGCAAGCCTAAGGGCGACTGCATCATCAAGTACGAGGAGCCCAACTCCGCACACGCCGCCCTGAGGTGGTTCGACGGGATCGACTTCAAGGGGGGAAAGATCGGAGTTGCCATGGCCGCGAAGCCCTCCCTCAACAACCGCTACTAAATATCGATTTGCGACGTTCCGGAAGGGAATGCGCTATGAGGGGCTTAACGAGAAATTGTGGAACCTTCATCAGAAAAAGGTCGTGAGATCTGGACTTCCAGAACCCGACGAAATCGGAAAAGGTCGTGAGATATGGACCTTCAGAACCCATACTAAACAAGGCAGCGGTCGTGATTCTCAGCGGCCTGGTAGGTAGTTGAGACCCGAGTTGCCGACCTATAACTTGTGTCGCCTCGCGACCTGCGCTTTTCATTTTTTGTTTATTTATTTGATCCTATTGGCAGTGGTAGAAACGGTTCACCATCATAGTCAAGTGTTCCCAGCGACCGCCATGACAAAGGTGTTTCGACAAGGCGGTTACTTTCGAGGCTTACCTTCTTCACGGGTCGGATTCGTTTTGTGGTAGAGCATGAGCGGTACGAGGTATCGTGAGGGATGGGATGGGACAAGACGAGCCTCGCCATGATCGCAAAGGCTGTCTTAAGACCAGCTTGACACCACGGGGCCAGGAAAGCTACCGCGGTGGTAGCAGAAAAATGAACTTCTCTTGGCTCCAAGTGCAACATCGCTGCGACAGCGGCAGTATTTGCCCCCCGAAGCATTCCGCTCCAGGCCAAGCCTTTGCCTAGAGAAGAACCCGCTGGTTTGGGTCGCGTGACTCGCTGTACTTGTACAATGCCTTGCCTTCGAAGGAAAGCCCGGACATGATCCAGACTACAGTCCGAGCTTTGTTTTTGCACGGAGAGTTTGCACTATTAGACACAAAAAAGCTTGGGTCTCCATCATCGACCTAAGTTCACTTTTTCTGTCCCTGTCATTTTCATAGTTAAGGGTGTGCGGTAAAGAAGAGGGGTCGTGGACAGACAGTTTTTGTGTTGTTTTCTCCGAGCCTGTCCTCCCGTCGCGACGGGGGCAAGAGGGCGGAAGGCGTGAAAAATCACGAGCAGATGAGTAAGAGCGAATTGATAATTTATCTGATTGTGTGCTTTGCCTATAGTGTGCGAGGGGATTTGGAGGGCGGTAGATGGCGTGTTTTTCGGTTGGGAGCGGTGGCGCCATGTACCCTTCTTTGTCTAGGGTGCGCTGTACGTTGCTGTGTCCTGCCCTTCTTGGTTGAATGAGCAGCTGGTGATGATGTCGGAGATGGGGCGATATCTGTGCAAACCTGTTGGTTGCCATTTCTTCTACTCTACAAGTGTAGCACCTCGGCGCGTGTGTTGCATTGAGTGTGGATCATTCATGCTTTTTTTCGGGAAACTGGATTTTGTCTAGCGGTTATTAGTGGCGTATGAAGTACGGTCGGAAAGTTGCAGCAGCAGGCGTGGCAGGTTTTTACGAAGGGATTGAGCAATAGAAGCAGCGTGGGGACCATTCAAAAGAAAGCGTGTGGGGGCCAAATCGAGCAGCGTGAGGTAGTTTTTCGATTCTTTCGCCGGGATGCCAATCATTGGGGTTGACAACTTGGCGAGGTTTTTTTGAGCGACAACGCTTCATCTGAATTCATCTGAACGAAAAGACGGAGATATGTTATCATCATTTCTGGAATTAATGAAGACGATTGGTTTCTTCGGGCTGCCTGCGCTTGATGCGTCTGGTGTGAAATGTCTTGAAAACACGTGCGTGGTGCACCTGAACCACAAGTCCGGGAAGATTTCCGACCCTTTCCATCTTCCCGCGTTGTTCACGAACCATCCGAAGCCACGTACGCGTTGGTTTCTGCAAACATGACACACTCCACCTTCTGCCTGGGCACGTTTGCCTAGGTAAAATTTGCCACTTTACCTACGCATACGTGCGTGCATGTCCGGTTTGTCATTACAACCTTCGGGCGCAAAACTAGTCGTGAAGTGTACCTCGCTGGCTAACCCTATAGACCAAATGTCTTTCGTTTGAGTCATCCTTGATCGACCTCTCCATGGATTTTTTCTGTTTTTCGTGTCGCGTTTATGATGTGAGTGTCTTGTTTTCGGGTTGGCTCGTGACTCACTGATAATCGCTTTGCTTTCTTGGGAGAATGGGGAGAGGGAAGAGAGACAGATGTAACACTGTAGATGAAAAACCTAGTGTGGAAGACGCCAACATCACAGCAGCAAGTGTCAAAAGAAAAGCATCAACAGTTGTTGGAGTGTTCATGGCCGTTTGTCCACCACTTCTCGACATGGCACCAATCGGCAGCACCCATCCGCAGGCATCCTACTCGGATGTGCTCAACCCTTCCTTCATAAATATTTCACTGTCCGCGGGGTTTAAGGCTCCCTTGCCACATTGTCTGACTGGCATCCTTTGCACAGCGCCTCGTACCTCGTTCTGCCTGCGCTGCTCTTTGTGGCGACGGTGTTGAAGAGGGCTTCATGCCGAACACAAACACGTGAAATCTATCCCAACGATTTTGAAACAAGAAAACACACCGAAACACAGAAAGCTGGGTACCACTAGACTAGGCTTATATGCCATTTTTTTGGGGGGGTGGGATACCGAACGGCAGCCGAGCAAAGGTCCAAACCTCACCCGCCCTTGGCGGTTTCGCCAGGACAAACACATCTATATGTCGACACAACAGGGGTGAACACCACTAACCAACACGAATGTGAAGTTATCTCGAGGGGGTCGCCTCACGAACGGCCAACACCAGCTCAGCACTCTGGCTCTATCCCCGTCATGAGAAAGAAAATAAGTCAATGGATGCTCTACAACAGCTAGAGAGACCGATCTTTGTTGTTTCTCCGTGCAGAAAGGCTCTCGCGACGACCACTCGAGGTTGTAGTGAAGCGTTTTTCCACGATGTGGCACTACTAACCTCCTCTCGCTTGACATCTCCCTTAAGGGCGGGCGAGATATCCCACCTTCCTAGTCACACCTCCGCTTCATCTCGAGCGTTACCTGCGAATGAAAGCTTTTACAAACTCTTGGCATCCATCCTACAGTATGTATCACCACCCTTTGGGGTAAGCTCCTGCCTCCCTGGCAGCGTTTTCAAGCTGGTCCGCTTGCTTCCACATTGCGGCAGCTGTGAGCGCGTCGATCTCGTCGATGCCGCCGGTCAATGTTCCTTCTTGACCCTCTGATGACAATTCTAATAGCTCCGCCTGCGCATTGAATTTTGTTCATGTGTGGCAAACATTCACATGTACATTTTCTGTCGACCGTGGTTTTCATTGAATTTCGTTGTGAGTATACAAAATCATAGCGGAGGCTGCGCCCGCCAAACAGAGTTCGTCCCAGAGGTCACTGCGGAGGTACCTGTTACATCCGATATTTTCCCCGACTTTCCTGTCCAAGAGTCTCTACCAGCATATTTTTCATTGGTTTCCGGACGTACGTGCGAAAAACTATCGCTATGAACATCGCCGGGCTAGACCAGTCCAAAAGACTCGTCCGGGTCCTTAGCTATCATTTTCGTTTTATTGCCTTCCCCGTAGCACGCTTATATTTTCATAATTTGTCGAAATAGTGAGAACAATCAGGAATAGGAACCTGGGACTTCGGGCTCCATGTTTGTTTGCGGGTGGACTGTATGCAAACAACGACGATCGAAGACGTTCGACAAGTACATGCCGCAGCTATCTTTCCATACATAGCAACAGCAACAGGTGAATCTGTTCTTGTACTTTTTTGCATCATTTTCACACGACAGACAGAGAGTAGAATGAGTGGCACAAGCGGCAAGAGTCAGCCAGTGCACGGAAAGGCGAATCGGGGCATATGCATGAAGGTCCGTAGGTGTAAAACATTGGGTCTCCCACACTTTCTACAGTTCCCAAACGACCCATGGGACTCCCATGGGTGACCCATGGGACGCCCATGGGCCGCCCATGGGCACCCCGTCACTACAAGTAGGCTTCCCATGAGTTTCCCATGGGTCACCCATGGGCATGCCCGTCAACCGAACCAGTGGACTCCTAAACAATAGATTATCTACTGTAACGGGCACGATAGCGGCCAACAACCCTAACGCTAACCGTAACCCTAACCCCAAGCCCACACGATACGTGCTAGCTAGGTTGGTGCTTGTGGCTAAGTTCTAGGTTGTTAGGCCGGTGGCGAAGTTCTAGGTTGAAGTGCCCACGGTGGGCACTTCATGGGCCGCCCATCGGTCGCTCATAAGCATGCCCATGGGTCACCCATGGGCAGCCAGCCCATGGGCAGCCCATGAAGTGCCGATGAAGTGCCCATGGGCGGCCCATGGGTGACCCATTGGTGTCACATGGGCGGCTGAACGAAACTGTCAGTAGTGTGGGAGATTGAATATATCAGGGGAGTCAGTGTCTAGGAGTCGATTTCAAATCATTTTGAGCCGTCCATGATGATTATTTTTTGTCTTCCAGGTGGGAGCTTATGAGTTGAGAACGACGACCAGACGATGGGTGCGAACTCCGAGCGACCATCATTGATAGAAGGCCCCCTAAACAGCACGGGAGCAGAAATGCAGCGTAGTCTGCAAGTGCGGATAGACCACAAACATGGATCGGACCGACAGCTGAAAAAACTGTGTCGACGTGACGGCACAAACGAAGTTGCCTAGCACCACACAAGCCAACAATATCGCGGGCTACAATAAACTTTGCTTTCCTGTTCAGATGTACCGTTTTTCTTTGTGACCCATGTTGCCATCAAAGGAACAAACAGGAGCAGCCGTAACGACTACAAGAGCGCCATACCTCGGCTCGTAAGGCTTGCGCTTCGTCCTTGATACGCTCGGCTTTGTCATAAAATGCTCTGTCTCCGTACGTCCATGCCTCGTCCGCGTTCCACGTAAAGTCAGCCGCTCCAGAGTAGCCATCACCGTCGCATGTCGCCTGCTCAACCATGGTACACAGCCATTCGGCATCATCATCAGTATTATTGTGAAGGCAGAGCAAATCTTGTTGTTTTGGTCGAGGAATAGCCACAACCGCACCAACAGCAACAACAGCAACAACAACGACAACAACGACCGTAACAACAACACTTGTGGCGAGGTGGTAGGCGAACGGTTTTCTGCATGAGTACATGTAGGCCTTGTTCTCCTTGATCTGATACACAGCCAGGAAGGCCCCCGGGCGCATTTTGGGAACATTCGATTTCAATAAAGCACCAAGACGATAATCGAGGAAAATAACTTGACGAAAGAGTGCGAGGAAATGAACATCCTGTAACCACGATGGATCTCGAATTACTGTCATCCAGGTGCGCCCGAAACAACAGCTTTCTACCGTCGCTTCGGTAGACAGCTTTGCGCGGCAGAGGTTGCCAATCCTGACCTCAAGCGATTCAAGCCTACCCTGTCCCAAAGTGAATGTCAAGGGCAGCTGCTATTGTTATCATACCTCGGGCACGAGACTGGCTGCGTTGTGTCCACTTGTTCAGTCGCAAGGGGGCTGCTGGTTGGAACTGCTTTGTACTGGACCTTCAGGCCCATCTAAATGGGACCCCGACTTTACTTGGGGGAATTTCCGTTGGCGTTGGTCCAAGCAGCGCGACTTTCCATGGGTATTTCCGTGCGCGTTGGATCCAAACAGTAGGCAAACCCTACTCTATCGGCCTCGAGACTCACGTGGGTGTACGTGGTCGGGAGGGTGTAAGCAACTCCCGATTCGCGCGCCCAGCTGGACGAAAGCGCCCCTCCCGGTGACAGAAGGTTGACCCAAGCGTCCTTCACGCCCACCTGTCGAAGTACACATAAACACAAAAGTCACCTGTGCTTACAGAACCCATCTATCCGACGTACTATCGGGCGATGAGTTGAATAGCCCAATAGCGGAAACATTTTGGCGATGCGTACCGTTTGCGGTTGGCGATACAGGTTTTAAAGGTGTCCCTTCTTTTACGTTTAAGAATTCATCTCACATCTGCACTTGAAAATGACTCGAAAACAATTGAAACGACCTCTCGGGTTTTGGAATGGATGGGGAAGGCAACCAAGTGAGAGATTTTACATCGATGATCTGCGGATGGACCACAGGCGAACAGTCTAGTTCGAGTTTTGACGTCGTTCGGCACCGTTTACGTGGAACGTGCAAAAGTGAAGCGCACACAGTACAGGAATGAAGTACGATAATTGAAATGGGCGGTGTCTATAGGAAAGGGGCTGTGATCTGTCGAGCAATTATGCACGTTGGTTACGTTGACAAACATGGATCATTCTACGTCCAAGCGGTTTCTGTCCACTTAATGTCTCATGGTGGCTGTCAATATTAGATAAAATAAGACCATCTGATCAGTCAACGTTGACTGATCAGATGGTCTTATTTTATCCAATAGTCAAGCCCGTACAAACGGCCACAAACAAAATTATTTCACTCACGTCCGTCATGGAGACCCTGAGGGCGGCATTCTCTTCAGCTGTGCGGGGACAGCCGAACACCAGCCCCTGTGAGAGACAGACCAGCTCGGCCGCGCTAAAGTACCCAGCAGCCCCGCTCGACACTACCCACTCGCCCCTCTCCCCTGAACCTGGCAAAAGCGAGGAAGTGAAGCGATTGAACCCAATTTGCACGGATTCCGGGTACCTCCGCGCGCCTGCGCAAAGAAAGTAAGGTACACTACGAAATGCGACCAGGGAGGGGGCGCGCAGACCCTAACCCTAACCCTAACCCGACCCCAACTTAGCCGATTCTATACTATATCCAGTATATTTGCGGGCTTAGAAAAACCTGCGTAGACTATTGTTGCGCTACCAACGATCTCTTGCCATGAAGATTGGCTACACGGTATCATCCACAACAACGTTATTTTGGGTGGCATCCTGGATTGGCTCGTTCTCAACAGTGTGTTCTGTTGCAATGCTTCGCCGTTACGCGGTCTGGGTACCTTGTGGGTTTGAAGGTACTGTACCACGAGCTGCTTGACGAGAACGGCCTGTCTGAATGTAAACAACAAGAACAAGACCAACAAGGATCTCAATATAGTGCGTTGCACTTACTATCGTTGCGACAAGCGTAGGAGTGTATATCATCGCTCTCTTCCTCGCTGGTCGACGCAGATCCGCTCGTCCACCTATGCGTGATTGAGACGAATGACACCGACGACAATCATTGGTCGAGACAACACGTTGTGAGCACCGCCAGAAACGTATGGATACGTGCGCATGATGTCTCGCCACAAACGGGAAACATTATTGCATGTATGTCGTGGTGAAGTAGGAGCTGCGGGAACGTCTTAGCTGCGGAGACGATGTGACGCCTCAAGGATTTGTTGAGTGTGTGTTTTTCAAGCACACGATTTTGGGGGCGGCGGCAGGGACGAGGCTGTACGGGGACGGGGTATGTTGAGGGCGGGGAGATGAATAACGCAACGAAAGAAAAAAAAAAGGTCAGATGTTGGTTGCCCGTTCTTGGTGTGAACCACGGCAGTCGGGCGCACAAACGGCATCTTAAATATCGCCGTGCACTACCCGGGCAAGGATGACTGGCTGGAGACATTGCGCAATGATTGTTCGACCAAGCACGAACAAAGCGAAGATAGAGAGAGAGGGGGAGAGAGAGAGAGAGCCGTGGCATTCATGGTGCTTTCTCGGGCCGCCCTGAGACCGCCAGAGAGAGAGAGGCATATCGAGGTTTCGGCAAGGTCAAAAGCACGTTCAATGCCACCAACCCGGCACCAGCAACACCAACGCCACACGGCCAACAATATCAACGACGGTGGCGTCGACGACAACACCACCACCACCAACACCACCACCAACAACCACAACAGCAAGAACAGGCAAGAACAACAAGAACAACATGAACAAGAATCTGAACAAGAACAAGAACAAGAACAAGAACACGCGAACAACAACAACGAACCTTCCTGTCTCCTGGTGAACCACGGCAGCGCGGGGGCTGGAAAAGTAGGCGTGGGGCTCGCCTTCTTCCCAAGACCACATGGTTGCCTCCAGCAGACGGCTGTCCATCCTGTACACGATCGTTTGATTGACGCCGTATGGGATCATGTCGTGTCGATTGGGAGAAAGTGAGCGGAACAGCGTGATTAAGGCGAGGAAGAGCGTCGAATGAACAACAAGATTGGTGATTGATGGGGGGCGAGGAGAGCAAACGCGAAGGGTATCAACTCGTCGTATAGGCCCTGGGAACCTAACGAATAGCTGGAAAAGAATCAAGGAAACATGACCGTTATACCCACAGAACGATTCGCTTATGGCACTGTTCAACCACATCGGGGGAATGCTTGTTTCTTGTTGAATGCCCGAAGAGCGACCACATGGTCGTTTTCGCTCGCGAAATCCAACATCTCCGTAAACTGATCCACACAGAAAAAGCGAGAAAACACAGGTAAAAAATAAAAATATTTGCTGTCGTCTTTCCTAAAGATGCCTAAAAATAATGATGAAGCCGCGTCCAGCCTTCTTCAACGAAAGAAAGTGTAATAGGCAGAGCTTATAGCTGGCCCTTATCGCGCTGCTGGCCCAAATCTAACTTTGCATCTCATCCCGAGCAAAAGTCGCAATGCTGGAGACGTCCACCACTCCTACGAGCTGAGCTGCGAGAGCCGAGCATCTACCTGTCGAAGGTGGGGATTAGCCCGCATTTTAGAGCGTCCATCGCGTCCGATGCTCCGAAAAACTCATCGGCTTCAGGCAAGAGCGCGTAGAGCGTAACGTCGGTGTACTCGATGACCCAGGTCGAGGCTTCACCCTGACGTTGATGTTTCGTATCGTCGTGGTAGGTGTGGGTGCAATCATCGGGGGTGAAAATAAACAACGAGAAATGTACTGGAGTATTCTTTGCCCAGTACTTGCCTGCCCGCCCGAACAGCAGTGATGCCTACATGTTATGTCCAGATGGGGATCTCAAGGGTGGGGCGGCGACGCGAAATCGTGTTATTGACGGTGGTCAATAGATTTAGATTTCTGCCAATTGTAAAGGACTATCGATCATACTACCATGAAGAGCGGCTGGTGGTTGGTGGCCAAACTGGTCATGTCGCGAGCAGCCGACTGTGTAGTAATCACCGTGGACATGCTTGAAAACACAACCACCCGAAAGATTTGTGGAAAAGTGAGCTTCGAGCCCCCTGCAACTTTGGCCGTGGCTCAATTTTTGCCCACAGGCACAGCCTGCCGGCATCTACACTTATCTAGGGCTGTTGATATACCTGCACGCGAGACCACGATGGGCTCCGAGTCCTAGTCGAACAAGGTGCGGAGGTCCTGAACCGAACTGCAGATATGTTATCCTGCAAGATTCGAGAGGGAGATAGACAATAGTCGTGAGAACGCACAAATTGTGTTGTGCTGTTCACCTGTCTTCCTCGCTACACAAAAGTTCTCGCTCTGCCAACGGATTAGCTACATTCACAGTATTACGTTCTTCTTTGTCCGTTGACATGCTACTACTGTCGCAAGGCTTCATGCGTACCTCGTGGAAGAGTCCGTCAGCGTCGTTCTCTCGACTTATCCTGAACATCGTATCGGCATCCTCCTCGCCGTTCGTGCCGAAGACCAGCCTCTTGCCCTGGGACACGAGGTACTCCGTGGTCGGCCATTGCTCGGACCCGCTGACTCGTAAAACGTCGATCAGCACGGTGGTTTTCATGAGGCGGTTCGTTTAACGTGAGGATCTCGTCGTTCGTTTGCATAGCCATTGAGCGTCCCGCGTGCTGTCCGTGTGTTTGGTCTCTTTTCTACAAGTCGGCAGCAACAATAAGCTCGTTGTTCTTCGAGCGCAGTTGACGCTCTTTCGTGTTTGAGTGGGATTCATGATCGATGCCTTCTGGCGAGAGTGGCAGCAGCTGTCGGCTGTCGGCTAGTTCATGTGGCAAATACGCGAATGCTTGGAACGCCTTGTTCTACTTACAATTATGCGCATGCGTACTTGTGCGTACACCGCCTCCCACGTTCGGAAACGATTGCACACGTTGTTCAATATACGGCCAGAAACAACATCAACAGTAACAGTAACAGCAACAACTAAAGCAGCAGCAGCACCACCACCACCACCAACGCCATCACCACCACCTCCACATATGTCAGATGGTCCACAGCGCAACAACCGCTACAGACGTTCCGGAGAAGCTGTTGATGGAGCCATTTCTAAACAGAAATCGAACAGGTTTCACCTGATTCTGTTCCACTCGATGAAGTCCAAAGGTCCGAAAACAATTTCCGTTCCGAACACTGTCGTGATGTAGTCGGGCAACAGGCTGACCTGTGATAGTAAGTAGTTGAGTCGATGACAACACGAACTTTCACACAATGGTGACGAGTGAGGTAGCACGAGAGGTGCCGCCCCGTTCACGCTTTTTGGTGGTGTTGTGTGTATTAGGTCTTGTGTTCAGGTGGCAGCGAAGTAGCATCAGAAAAGGTGTAGACGCTGTTATTCTTGATCATGGTGGCTTGTGCGTCCACAATCGCTAGTCTGCGATGCGTCACGTTCGCTCCCGAGCTGGTTGGTCCAACCCACTAGAAACGTCAACGCCGTTCACATACAGCATCAAGAGAATATACACGGAGCCGCAAAGAATCCTCCGAATCCAAAATAAAACCACGGAATGGAACAGTATTAGAAAAATTGGCCCCCGTGGTCTAGTTGGTATCCTCGAAACCTTCCAGAGGCCAGGTCAGCGGTTCGAATCCCGGCGTAAGCGAGCTTTTCTTGCAAAGTGAGTTTTTCTCTCGCTTCCGCTCCTGGCCAGAGGATAGCGCTAGTTCGTGTGTTCACAGAGGGAAGAGAGTGCTGAACTCTTCTCGCATTAAAAATCGAAGGCAAAGTACCGCAGGAGGGGAGGGTAGAGATGAGCTCATCTGTGTGACCACGGAGTGGAGTAAGACGGCACTAAAAAAATAGTCCTGTGAGCGCTGATTTGAAGTGAAGACAAAAAAAAACAAGACGACAAGGTACGACAGACGCCAGATATCGCAACAGACAGGTGATGACAAGCGATGAAGGGGAGGAAGCTGATGTTTTGGCAGCAGTTGCGTATATGGGAGCATTCTGTTGCGTTGGAAAAGACATGTTTAATTGTTTGTTTTTCTACGCTGGGGTTTTATTTGCGCGAAAATTCGAAAATTCAACGTCGACTGTTCCTTCTCGGTCCTCCATTTGGTTACCTGAAGGACATATCTCCCTCTAGCTCAATCCGTCGATATTTTTGACACGTGTCTGGTCTCTTGCTTTTAGGCACCCCATCTCCTTCGGCACCTCAAACCGAAACTGAAAGTCATGGTTCCAAGGCGGACACGTCCTCGAAATCGAGAACACAAAAAATAAACTTCTCGGTGGTCATGAACCATCGCAAGTACGGCGCAACACGGCGATGGGACTCCAGACAATGGTGCTCAGTACACGAGAGGGCACGCGGAGCTCGTACAACGAGCGTGATAATATGAATCAACGAACCAAGACCGATGATGAACAGTTTTGGGCGGAAACCTACCGACACGCTCAACAAACGAGAGCAACACACAGCGCAAAGCACAACAACAACGCCCACGTTATCTCCGGTGTAGTCCTCGATCTTGATGAAGAGCAGCTCTTCGGAGTTCTCCGGTAAGTCTAGCCAAGCGGAGATCTCATCGAAGGTTTCCTTCAGCGAAGGGGCTGTGCTAGAACACCCAGTGTCGTCCCCAAAGTCTTGAATTCCCAGCGCCTGGATATGGGAACAATTGAAACTAAGACATTCCGCCCACCGATTGACGAAGCGTCAAATGTGGGGGTGAAGAAACAACGCGCCTAGAAACATGCACCGTGCCTGCTGACCCGTTCTTGACCTACAACGCGTCGGTGGCTTTCGTCTAAGTCACACGGAGTAATCTCTGTCGAGTTCAAAACATTTTCTTACGTTTGTCTAGATCTCGGGGCAGCAAATGCGATGTGACACTACCATATTGATTTAGATGCCAGCGAGACCGTTTTATCGGACGGGTCCATGTGGAGTTAATCTCGCGCTTAAGTTTGTACAGATTGATATAAGACGCTTACGTGAGAGCATTAAACTCAGGTTCTTATGAGCGGTTAGTGTTGTACGCGGAACCATCCTGTCTCAGGTTACCCTATGGAGAATCTACCGTTCCCGAGCCGAGGATGGTTTGCAGCTGCTTTCCGACGGTTTTACAACCCTCACAAGCGTTGACCCCGAAAATTCAGGGAGACTCTGGTACCAGAACCATCTGGCGCCGCCAATCGGAAAAAACACCTTCCTCTGTTTTTCAAGAAAACATGTGATTGTACCCTGTTCTATCAACAGCAACTACTTTTTATTTGAATCACCGCCCACCAGATAGGCCAAAGGTGGGGTAGCTATGGTCATGACCGTCGTCTTAGCCGGGGTGCAACTGCCCTTACCTATAGTCTGTTGTCTTAAGTGAGTGTGCTAAGAGAGCGTCCAATCGCAGTAGGAACATCAACAGTAGGTAGCAGTATTGACTCAATATTTTCGACCTTCCTGTGGCTATGGGTTCGTGCCTGATTCAAAGTTCAAACGCGGCTTCGACAAATCGTACCTCGCAAAGGTACCATCGCAGACGAGAACACAATTCGTGTATCTCTTGAGCAGATGAAGGGCGGGTGTGGCACACGAGAGTTGCTTCTTCTTGGCTCCTTCCATCCCGCATGAGCTCCTCCACGTAGTGGATGTCCAACTGCACAACAACGCAGATGGTAAAGAACAGGCCCAGCCGTCCCAACATTCGGGGTGAAGACAACATCCGCGAAAGAGTTTCACGTGGGTTTCAAGGCAAAAAATTTGATAGTGTTACCAAGCGTGCCCCTCAATAAACCCATTGGTAGGCACATGCTTCGTGGTACCAGAGGCAGCGTGCCAATGGGCAAACAGATTGCGTTCTCCTTGCTGCCGCCCCTCGCATGTCCTCTCCGGGATTTTGGTCGCCAAATGTTAGGCAGGGTGGACACGAACCAAGTAGTAGGACACTCAATATGCACGCAAGAACAGGTGTAGCCAAGTTGTTAATCCTACTGAGAAGGCTGGCTCGGGGGCTAAATACCTGCAGCCCGACCTTCCATGTGTGGAACAACGGTCACAGAAGATTTTCTGTTCTTTGTCATACCTCGAGTCCCCTCACTCCAAGGCAGGACAGCTGCTGTGTGAGACTGTACACCTGATTCGGTACCGTCTTGGAAAAATGGGTGACGAAGAACACAATGGTAGGGGAGAGGTGTTCAGTGGTGATCGAGTTTCCAGGTACGCCACAAAATTGAAAACTCCATACGGTCATTCATTGACTAGGCAGGGATTCGCTGCGACAGGTGCAGAGCGCACAGGAGTGCGGTGAGTTGCGTGGAGACCCCATCAACAACCCGTGAGGCAGAACTCGGCGTGATGGGTCGAATAGAGTATGACGGCTGATCAGGACCTTTTGTGCTGCGTGACTTGTTTCACGAGTCCCCACAATCAAAAACAAAACAACGACAAAAATATTGTGCTGATTGCTCACCGGATAAAGAGTGTACTCACACAGTTGCACCTAGAGGCAGGACGGCTACACGACTACCTCAATCACGGTTTGTTGAAAGCAACAAGATAGTTAGAGTGTCACGCGAAATAAGACATGTAAATATCGACTAGAATCTGTTTGCGAAGTGGATTACTGCATTTTACGGCTAGATGCAAACAGAGCCACCCATACGGACTTGCGCCCGACGTAAGCACAACTGAAAAGGACCGTTCTTGTTGTAGTTCCTGTGTCCTGAGAATCGGTCCCATTCTCATTGCATCGACCCACAGACTGGAGAGGATACTGGCGACGTCGGCGGCATTGGCAACAAAGTAGCATACCGTCGAACAGCTACACTTTTCAGTAGCTTTTTACAGCACCGCCAAAACCGTTTCTCACCTCCCATTGCGTGCTCACTCCTGCCTCTTCGGTGTTGTACGAGTTGTGGGTGGCAACCATTGGCACCTTATTCAGCGGCATATCATACCTACAACACGTAGAGGTTGCACAAGGTTTCAGACATTGACTATCCAACGTGTTTCCCGTGCTAGCTCAACTCTCTCCCCCTGGCCTGATCTGTTCCTATTGGATGGTGTCGAGCCACTCAGCAAGTAATCGTCGGCGTCTCATGGCCAAGAAAACCCCACGTACTACACATATTAGCCACAGGGGTAGACAGTGAAATATATACTGTGGTTGTCAAACTTATCATGCAAAACATCACGGGGCCAAATCAGTCAGTTCACGATGAAATGATCGATGTCTTGCAATCTTTCGGTCGAGGACTTCCAAAACATCACGTCGGCACACGCTCTTCCTGATGATGGAAAATAGCGACATTGGGTACTTCTCGTTGCAGCATGCATCCATCAGGAGGGCCCTTGTTTTGGATACTCTTGACTCCACGAACCCTAACATCGGGTTAAACAAAGGCGAAAGAAGTAGAACCACAGGCACTGGCGCAACAACATTGGTTTGGAATGAGCACAATGGCCTGTGCGATGATCCGGAAATATCGCGGAGGTTGACACTGTTATTACTCGGTGCTCCCTTCAAAACAGCATCGCAAACGTGACGACAAATGGCGCAGAAATGCACCCAAAACCAAGCGGCGGATCAAACTCGATTTCGTCTTAGAACACTCACGTCAAGAAGCGCTGCAGGGAGGATGCACGTAGCAGCCAGGGCGACGTGTTCGGAGATTGCGTAGCGGTGCCAAACCCGGTGCCAAAACTTGCCGCGTTCACCACCCAGTACCACCACAAGAGTGTCTTTGTTGCGGTAGTCACTGAGGACACAGCCCCCCACCGCCGCCACCACCGTTTATTGGTTTCGACCGTCATCCGCTACTCGGTTGTTCTTCCTCCTGCTTGAAGCCCTCCTTCTCTGTGGCCAGCCCCGACGTGTGCCAAGACGTAACACGCACGCTGTCGGTTCGCAAAAGAGTGTCGCTACTACGGCGGGACAGGGGAACCTTTTTGGAAGAATCTCCTTCTATGTACAAAAGAGTGATCTTCACGATGTCAAGAGGTCTCCGAAGGCTCGATCGGTGGGGATATTGCAGACATTGAGCGCGACACTGGAATGGAGCGCCGGCCGGCTCCTCGATCGATCGTAGTTGACGAATTCTCAGATCACTCGGGGTGGTGCGGGTACTGTGGTGTATAGACTATACAGAGCGTTGATGCGCGACACGTACCTAAACACGTGCACATGAATAGGTGCATCTCCCGAACCGCTGAGCCCAACCACCTACTCCCTCTGATCCGTAATATAAGGTCGGAAGGACAACAAGCGGCGGAACTCGAGCCATTGTACTCTTTTTCCGAACGTTTTTTTTTGTTGGTTCTGCCGCCCTTTCGCGGGAACCGGTGCTTTTGTCATTCCCTACCAAGAAAGGTTGCCCCACCCCAGCAAAAGTCGCTCGAAATCACTACCCCAACTTTGAAGACCCGGTCAAAAGCCTTCCTCATCTGTGGTGAGGCATGTCTGCTGCTGGGGGCGCCTCCCAGGTGCCAAAACGCAAGAATTTCACCACGTTGGAAAAAGAGGACGGCACCTCCTAGCTGGCAGCAAGGATGGGGTGCTGAGGCGAGGTGCGTACAAGGCAGCCGGTGAGGAGTTCGGCTGCAATTGGAAGACGATTATGAGGTTGTGGAAGAAGGACGACCAGCAGCGCAAGTCTGGGGTCAGTAACCCCGATTTGACCTCTGGCCGCAAGGGCAGCCAGAAGGGGGTTCCTATCGATGAACTGCGTGCACGCCTCCGTGAGATCCCGCTGAACGACCGCACCACACAGCGCCGCTCGGGATTCCACAGCCTACCGTGCACCGTAATCTCAAGGCGCTCGGATTGAAGGCACGGTAACTGCCCCACTTGAGCAAGGAGAAGGCTGCCCGGGGGGGGTCACCAATCCCCCGGCGGTACCAGATTTCGGAGGAGGCGTGGACCAAGGGCAACGCAGCGCTCGCGGCGGGGGCGGGGGGTGGGCCGGCTGCGTAGAACGGGACGCGCGAGTACTTTTGTTTTTGCTGCAGGTCGTCTAGATGCGAGTACTCCTATTCTGTTGCAGGAAGGGGCACAGCGTTGTTCTTGTGTTACTCTTGTCAGTAAGCTGAGGTACGGTAGTCGACGATCGTCAGATTGCTAACAGTAGTGGTGGTACCGAGGAGGTCTAAGGAGAAGCAAATGAATTGTGGAGCTGTGGTGAAACGATGCAAATCATCTTGAAGACCGGTGAAGACCAGAGTCCTCCGGGATACTCATTGTCGAATATGTGCGAGCACTACTGCTGTACTCCGTGCTGTACAGAGAGAAACAATTCAATACCGCCTTGGCGGCGACTTTGCGCTGCCCAAACGGTACCCTGACCCCCGCCGAAGTTGATATCCGAGCTTCCCCATCCGACACATGGGGTGCTGCTGTCATGCACAGGCCCGGGAAGCCGTTGTTTGAAGTCGGGGATGCATCGTTAGAGCCTGCAGTTCCATTCTTCCGTGCCTGCTGGACGGAATACTCAGCCGCCGTAGTGAAATCACGCTCTTTTCCCGTGATTTCACTAACCAGGGGATGATAGCGACAACCCCCCTCCCTTTTCATTTTTTTTTTCTCTTTTTTTTCCAATGTCATATCCGATCACGTATCAAAGTTATCCGATGTCCCACAACCACTACATGGCTTACTATGGGCCATATAGTAGTTATCGACCTTATATCCTGATAATCCTTGTCGACCTTATACTACGGATCAGAGGGAGCACGGATGCACGGATGCCCACCCAAACTGTCTTGTAGAGCGTGTAACCTACAGGGGAGAGAGCGCTGCTGAATACTGCTCAGGGAATCGTAGAAACACAGTTAGCTTCCACTGACGCTATGGATTCGTTGCTGCTGTAGCGTGTCCCAGACTTGTGCAGGGGAGGAACTGTTGCGCGATACATGACTGAGAGAAGTATAAAATAGTCTGCCTCCTGCATATGGTATGCATACTGTACAGTAGTCGTGTTGTTGTCCCATGGTAGTTTTAATAGAGAGAAGGGTTCGGCCGTCCCTTTCATTTGTCTATAGCAGTGAAGTCGATGTGTGTTGCTAAAAAATCATAGTTTTCTTCTGCGAATTGTAGCCAAAGAGAATCAATCTTCCAGAGAGATACATCTCACAGTAGTACTTACATGTAGGTGTGCGAGGTCAACCACCTACTACACAAAGTCTTGTACACCGGAGTGGCATCGTGATGATTCGTGGCAAAAATCATGTACCATACAACACACAGCACTACTTCTACTCAACACGGGGATGACGTATGGCACGCGTGGGGAGAGCGAGCGAGAAAGAGGTCAAAGAGGTCTGCCGGCCCCACGGCAGGCGCTGCATATTCGACACTACAACTGTGCGCCGCTGCCGACCTATTGTTTAGCTATAGAATATCCCGACCTATCGCGAGTTCCTTACCTTGACGGAGCGAACACGCCTCTCAATCCACTCGCCAACTCTCTGGGCGAGCGCAAGAGAGTGTCGTCAGGTTGTCTAGGGTAGGGGGAGAGCATGGGTGTGTACGTATTATCTGAGTATTATTGTGTCGCATATCGTACCGAAACTTTCGAAAAAATATCGTTTGTCCTAAAACCCAGAATCACCCGCTCCCGATCGTTGAACGCCCACCCACTCCCGATCGTTGAAAAATGTGTGTAAGAGGCGTACTTCGCCTTTGATCGGCGCACAAATGTTGTAGTTGTATCTATGAACATTGGAACAAGTCGTGCCCATCAATTGAAGCAAGCAGCATGCCACGTCGGAAAAGCTGGCCGATGGCCGGCGTACATGGTAGATTTGTTTTGTTGAATCGATCCCTTCGACCTTGTCGCTGTTACTGTTATTATTGATGTTTGTTGTCTTCACCGTGAAAACCATTCGAACCGTGAGAACCGTTCCGTTCTCTTCTTAGAACCTCCTAAATATCGGTACCGGTCCGACTGACGCGGACGCCTTCCGCGGTCACAAGCCAACTTCCCAACAAGGGTCTACGCTTCTAGAAAACAAGCGAAACAGAACTGGACTCAGAAAATCCTCAATGAAACGCGATAGCAAATCGTGTTTGACAAACCTTTGAGGTGATCGGACCCGAAAAAAATACGTACACATACATATGAAACAGGAAGGACCCATCCAAACAAAAGAAAGAGAACCCATCGCTCCCGCTCTGCACGCGATGAAGTATATTCAAACATAGTCGACCCTGGGAATTTTTGCCACCACCCGCACACATTCATCTCACCCCGTGAAAGAGGGAATCATCTTCGAGAGGAGACGGGGGAGGCCTTACACGTTTTAATGGTCTTTTCCACATTGAAGAAACACTTTTAACTACCCCCGTAAGAAATGACATAGTCAGAGCGTCCCTTGGTAACGGTTGCCCCACAACACGTGGGTGTTTATTGCCCAAATTATTTTCCATCCGTCACCCGTCTAGTATCGTTTCCCAGCGTCCACCATATCTACGTTGGAAGGCTCAAAGCTCAGCGATATGTTGTTTCCTCGTTTCGTCCAAAGCACTGAAACCGCTTGATCGTGATTGCATAAAAATAACAAAATAACCTACTCCTGTAGAACACTCGTTCTCGTATGACTCCAAATCGTAACGCTTAAGCTCGATAGGCAAGTCCATTCAGAAGATTGAACTGCGAGAGACAACATAGTGGCAACCCCCCACGACTGATCCCCCCTCACCCATTCCGTCTCCAACTTCACCACTTTGCGAATCTCTGCGGCAATGGGCTTCTCGACTTTCCATTATATGGCCTTCGGCGCCGTGCGATTCTGGCTGCTTGGTTTCTGCGGGACTCGCTTCGTGCGGATCGGCGCTGGTGTAGTTGTATTTCACTCTTGGCGAGCAGTAAAATAACAAATGAAGGCTTTGTTGAACATCTGGTCGTATGTTATTCTCTGCCCGTCTTTTCCTGGTGGAGTTACGTCTTCACGAGATCTAACCAATGGTGAAAGTCGCTCAGGGTTGCGTTCGTCCTCTAAGAGAGAGCCGATCTCTACCGCGGTAGGCTTGAGCTGCCACGTCTCTCCTCAGTTCCTCACCGATGAGGGTGCCACATTCACCGGAAACGGTTTTCATGTTCTAGAGTACACCCTCACCCTCTCGGGTAGCACTTCTAACCCTACCCGTCGGCTTCCGCCTCCTGGTACCCGTCGGCTTCCGCCCCCTGGCTACGCTCTCCAGCTAGTTGATCGTGTCAGCGTGAGCAACCGCTGGGACTTCCGAGGACCGGGAATGCTTCGCGACATCTTCACGGCATCACCACCCTTTCGGGTAGGCCCCGGCCTCCCTGGCCGAGTTCTCAATCCTTTCAGCCTCCACCCGCATCGCGGCAGCTGTCAGCGCGTTTGACTCGTCCATGTTCGTCGATTCGTCCTCGGATGACTCAGATAGCGCCTCCAAAGCGTCAGCCTGTTGTTATATTTTTTTCGGGTTATTTCCGTGCATGGAATGTGTTTTAGTTGACTGCATTCCCGCGGTTCCTTCTCCTGTTGCCGTAGACACCATAGTGCACACGAGTTTACCCCATCGGAGATAAGTGAATGCCATGAGACGCGCTTGAGAGGATCATTCACCCCAATTATGTGGCGAACGTCTCAGAGCAATCTTTGGGTGGGAGTTTAACTATGATTTTCTCGCTAACTTTGGCTTCACTTACAGGTCGGGGTAGGCGGCAGCCCTAGGAACAACGGTAAATCTCCCAGCGTGCAACGCGACTGACCGATGTATATTGTGGCTTGTCCGTGCTACTGAGTGGCTGGAGACAAGCTTGTCTCCGACCACTTAGTAGCACGGAGCCATAATTCCGTACCACTTTTCGGGTGAGTTGCGTAAAGGCTGGTGAGCGCGACGTTCCGTTTGTGACAGGGAATTCGCCCTGGAGCGACCAGTTTCACTTCGTTATCCGCAATCACTCGATGGGACGGATGGGTGCCCCTTCAAGCCACTCCAACTGTATGAACTTGTTTTACGCTTTCTTGTTTTCGTTTCATTTGTGTAAATGACCCATATTGGAAATGAATTCGAGTGTGTATGCATGCGTATGAATTGGAATGAATCAGTACAAGACAAATCCTGGCTAGGTATATGACAATGCAACCATCTCGGGCAACCCCTTTCCTCAAAGAGCTTGTGAGAGAAACCAAGAGGGACCTTTTGAGGCTTGGTCAGGTGCATTTTTTCGTTTATAGTTGAGGAGAGGGACTGCCCAATCTCCCATACTACTGACAGTTTTGTTAAACCGCCCATGGGTCACCCATGGGTAACCCCATGGGCCGCCTATGACTGCCCACGAAGTGCCTTCCGTGGGCACTTCAACCTAGAACTCGCCACCGGCATATCAACCTAGAACTTAGCCATCAGTACATCATCCGAGAAAATAGCCACCCAGCGCCAACCTAGCACGTATCGTGTGGGCTTTGGGGTTAGGGTTAGGGTTGGCGTTAGGGGTATTAGCCGTTATGCTCCCGTTCCAGAGCAGATGATCTATTGTTACGGAGTACACTTGTTTCGGTTGAAGGACACTCAATGGCCGCCCATGGGCAGCCCATATGGGTCACCCATGGACATGCCCATGAGCATGCCGATGAGCATGCGCATGGGTCAACCATGGGCCGCCCATGGGCACCACGTGGTGCTCATGAGTGACCTATGGTTGACCCATGGGTGACCCGTGGGCGACACTTCTGTCGTGCTTATTGAAGGTAAATGTGAAGAAGCGATAGGTAGCATTCTTGGTGGGACCTGCTCGGAGCTCTACACTTGAGACAAGAGTATGCAGGGCAAGGGTAGATCGGCGAAACACCGGAAAACACGTTGTCGGACCAGGAGGACCACACGTACCCGCCTCGGGTCGCAAGCTTTGTGTTTGGGTCTCCTTACGTCACCATCAGACGGCAAGAATAGCATCAAGGTGAGCGACGACAAAAGCGAGAGCAACGACATACCTTCGATAGTAACTCCGAAGCCTCCGCCTTGATACGCTCCGCCTTCTCGTAAAACGCAGTGTCGCCGTAGGTCCACGCGTCGCCGGCGTCCCACGTGTATTCAGCCGCTGCAGAGTAGCCCCCACCATCGCACGTCGCCTGTTGGCCGGCAGATGTTATGATTCATGTTGCTCAACAAGTGAAACACTTTGTTGCTGCTGTCGCAATTGCTCTTGTCGTTGTGTTGCTGGTGGTGGTGTTGGTTTAGTTGATGAAGATGGACTGCACTCTCTTCGTGCTCTATTCACGTGATCATATTTATTTTATTCATCGCCACTGCTTTAGTCCATATCGCACAGAGACAATATTGTAGCCGCAGGCCACCTAGTGCAATATGTAAGCATACGCATCAAGGCCATGCCAACTGATCCAGCTTTGGGTTCGATGAAGGCGTAGCTGGCAATGAATCGTAGCCTTGAGACTCACGTGGGTGTACGTTGTCGCGAGGGAGTAGGCCACGCCCGACTCACGTGCCCAGGTTGATGAAGATGCTCCTCCCGATGATAGAAGATTGAGCCATACGCTCTCCACGTTCGCCTGCCGAAGGGCACAAACAATATATTCGTATTTTCGGCACACAGAACCAGCCCATACAGTAACAACGTAGACCCAAAGACACGGGCGGCAACATTGCATTGTAAGCTAATAGTTCAACAGCCGGGTCGGCGTTGAGGGGGTGATATACCGTTTACGCCAAGCCGTCAGCAGTCACTGTCCCAATCAGTGCATTCCAGAGCTTCGGAATACAAAACAACAACGTGTTTTACCGGGACGGTGCCTTACGTCGTCCAACCCTTGACTCTGTGAGGACACACTTCATCAGAGTGGAACACCTGAATGCGCTCTTCGGTAGCAATTTTTTCTTCCTGGGACCTCCTCTCTGACAACGGCTAGAAGAAGAGCCAATCACCCTGTCTGCCGCCGAATGCAGTTGAGTTTTAGAAACTGCGTGCCAGACGTTAATGGTGGCCCATGATCACTTGCATCCGCCAGGAGTCCTAGCCCATCACATCTCCCGTTGCTGGTAACACTCACACCAACTGGTTTGGTTGCTCTCGGCCCAGTCACATCCGTTGACAAAATCACTCACATGCGTGCATAACATGCAACCGCCGGTCACTATTAGAATTTCATTCGACCACGTGAAAAGTTTGAGGTCGTTTGTGCGCGCTGTTGAAGTAAATGTTAAATACTGAAACGTATGATCGGGGTCGTCCTTGAATGGGTGCATACACTCGTGCGAAACATTGACGTGTTCCATTGACTGCATCCCTGTGATGAACGTCACTGTTGCTGTTGACGTTGTGAACATTTGTCGTGGTCGAACTACTCTCAAATGGATGCCATTGGGAACAAAGCGAGTGATCACTTTCGTCGATGACCTGAGGGTATGCTGCAGATTCATATCACATAATTCGACGAAGGAATACAGACCAATGCACTCAGGGATTGGGTACATCGGTTGGCTTGAGAAATGTTCATCTGAAATCGCTTTCGATCATTCAAGCTTAATGCATCGGCCCCGTCATGAGTGGTCACAATATCGATCTGGTAACCGTTGAGTCACAGCAAAGTGAACCTGTGGTCTTTCGGATGGTGACCGACACACGAAGCAACTCACATCCGTCATGGATTCCCTGAGCGCGGCGTTCTCTTTCGCAGTTCGTGGGCAACCGAAGACCAACCCCTGTGCAAGGCAGACCAACTCAGCCGCGCCGAAGCACCCGGCTGCTCCATTCGACACCACCCACTCGCCCCGTTCGCCTGAACCTGAGGGTGAAAACGTATTTTCAACCTCCAGTGAAATTAGCAACATCGGATTGATATTTCCGACACTCTGCCATGTATGGTCTTGTTAACATTATCAGGTGAGCCGACGTTGCTCTGGACGATAACCCTCTTTCTCAAAACTAGCTCCACGTCGTTTTGCCACCCCTCTCGCCGCAGGATGGATGGGGGAGAAAAACCTATTTTCGTTGCCATGTGGCACCTACGCCGAGAAATGGAGTCGACAGATGAAGTTTGGATCTACAGGTCTTTTCCAGCTTCTGAACACGGTCAAGTCGTGGTTTGCCGACGCTTTCAAAACATTAGAGAGGGAAGCCCTGGGTCGTGCGACTGAATTTATTCCCATTCATTTGACAAACAAGCGAAATATTGACAAGAATGAAATACAACAACAGCAGCTGCAGCAACAGAGGAAACACCTAACCGCCAACGTCACTCGCGCTTACTATCATCGCGACATGCGTAGGAGTGCACTTCGTCGCTCTCTTCCTCGTTGGCCAATGCAGACCCACTCGTCCACCTGTGCGTGATCGAAACACAAGTTCTTATTGATTGGTGTTTCACCCGTCCATTTTCATCCAAACATTTCAAAGAGGATTTCAATGTGCAGATAATAAGGTTAGGACGCACGTCTGGGCATCGACGGATTATCCTTTGCGCCGGTTATCTATATTGTTAATAGAAGATGGAAAATATTTCGAAATAGACGGTGTCCACATAACTGAAACGGAATTCGGGATTGCCAGGTAAAGCTTGTCAATATTTCGGGGGGCAGCTACAAGGCTCTCCGGAGGCGGGGTTGGTTGTTAGCAGAGAATGAACGAACCACAAGCAAGAAAAAAGTATGGGCCGGAAAGATCACAGCGTTCGTCGTAGATCTAGATTGGCAAACATCAGGTAAGGGCCAGGCCAACCCGTGGGAGAAACACGGCCTTGTCTTTAGGCATGAGCCACATGAGGCCGGGCGATATGTTGAATTCTGATCATCGTGCGAAGATTGGTGAGTCCAAACCATTCGAGGGGATCATTGGAACCTCCTTCGTGCCTCCCTGAGACCACGGGCAACGCTACTCTGGCCGGCACGAGACATTGGGGAGGTGCTGGGTAGAGGCGGGAGGGGCTTACAGTATCGAACATAGTCGCAACGGCACACACGAGATATCACCGACGACGACAGCAACAAAGCCACAGCAGCACACAACAACAGCGATGACAACAACGATGACGGACCTTCCTGTCTCCTGGTGGGCCACGGCAGCCCGGGCGCTGGAAAAGTAGGCGTGGGGCTCGCCTTCTTCCCAAGACCACATGGTTGCCTCGAGCAAACTGCTGTCCATCCTGCAACGATTGATTGGTTCAAGCAGTGGGACGGTTAGGCCGTGTTATGAGGGCGGCCCGCATCCTGGTCAAAGATGCGCTTGGTCGATAACATGTTGGCGCAGGCGGAGGCGAACCTAGCTGGTGCTAGTCCGTGGAAGACAACGGCCGACTTCAACAGACCGAAGTGCAGCGAAGTGCCCGTGTGGAGTGAAAGACACTTCACACAAGCAGAACTGGAAATTCTTCACGGATACCTGTCGAACGTTGGGATTAAACCGCACTCAAGGGCACTCATCGAGTCCCCTGCTCCGAAAAACTCCTCGGCGGTCGGTCGGAACTCGTACAGCGTGAGGTCGGTGTATTCGATCATGAAGGTCGCAGCATTACCCTGTTGTCGTGTTCATTTTGTTCACCGGGGATGAGAGGGAAAACAGAAATGCTTGAGCAAATGACTCATGCCGAGGTTGCTCATACCATGTCTTCAGGTTGCTCATACCTTGGGGTATCACTGGAAATATATTTTTACACCGCACTCAGTACGCTCCCCAATCAAATGCAGTTGTGTTGCAGTTTGCGGAACACAACAGGTGCTCCGATGATGGACGTTATCGTAGTCGGGACAGCCCTCGACCGACGCCAAGGTTTCGTCCGATGAGCGATCACTGTGCTCTCGGATACCAACCGTGACAGTTCGACGTCATTTTCATCGCTCTTCCCCTTTGTGGTCCACGCTTTACTATGTACTACTTGGTTGCTCTCCTTTTGCCACTCTGGCAGGAGTGGGTATATTGGAGGGTTACGCTACCGCAGAAGGGGAATGCCTTCATGGGGCTATCACGGAAAGGGTTAAGCATTTCTCTTTCCCGTCGTCGACTTTGACTCCACGGATGAGAGGCATTCCTTTAAGGTTTAGCATGGTGGTCTATTCTAGTGCTTGCCGCATATATATCCGGCGGTCTCGTTGAACGTAGAACGTTGTATGGGCTCTGAAGAGGCGGTTCGAAACGACCAAATACGATGCAAGCGACGCACACCCCCGAAAAAAAATATCAGGAACAATTCAAGGTTTTCGTTGCACGCACGCTCAGCTGCTTTCCCAATTTGTTGTGTCCCACTAGGGTCCGGAAAAGGCTGCGCTTTCAGTTATGTGCCTGTGTTTGCCACAAGTGCAACACGGGTTTCAACGTAGCGGACTTGCACTATCATGCTCTTTCAGTATGGAACGTTGGGTGCCGTCTATGTACCTGCACACGAGACCACGATGGATCCCGGGTCCTCGAAGAACAGGGCACACCGGTCCTGAACTCGACTGCAGTGGAAATATCCTGATCAAAACATGAACGGAAACAGACCGCGTGGTACTCATGGATCTCGTCTTTGCATCGTTGTTGGTAATATTCATCTGCCGCCGCCCTCCGGCCGTGCTAGAGCTTGTCAGACGCAAACAGCCCTGATTCGGTATTCCCCCGAAATCATCGGCACTTCCCAACCGGTGCACGACCTTCCTCCGGCCACTTGACGAGGAGTTCTCTCCTGAAACTCCGCACGTTGTCGCTGCGGTTCCGAGATTTCGTTCGCGGCAAAAGATGACTTGTGGAACCCTCCATCATGCGACTCGTTTTCAGCACACTGTGCGGCGATCGTTCTATAGAAACGTCTCCGCCCGCGCTTAGAGCACCCTCGGCGCGTAGGGGGCAAGTATCTTCCACAGTGGGGGCTTATCGCTGATACAGGAGGATCCATCCGACAAACGCTATCATTCTTTGACCCGCACAGGAACCATGTATCGCAGCACCATTTTCATCATAGCCAACTGAAACAATCCCAATCGATGCACAGAGTGGTCGACAATTCAACATCATTTAATATTCACATGCCCCCAACATGAAGGTAGTCTCACTCCTCTTCCCTCCGTCACTTTGTACCTCGTTGAAAAGCCCGTTGATGTCGTTGTATTCGTTGATCTTGAACATCGTGTCGGCATCTTCCCGAACGTTGGAGCTAATGACCAGCCTTTTGCCGTTAGACACCAAGTTCTCCGTACTCGGCCACTGCTCCGTGCCGCTGGTTGGTCAACGTTGAACAGTTTGTTTGTAGAATACAGTCGGAGGGTTAATGATTGGTTTGGAGCGAGTTCATCGCCACTGTTTTGCTGCGAGGTACCCTGTATTTATGGTTGAGGAGCCTACCAGGCCGACTAAGGTTTAAATATGAAATAGTCGTTACTTTGCGGTGGTCGTCGTCGTTGTTGCTGATACTGGGTACTCAACGGCCCTCCGTATCGTCACGTCTTCCATATACAAGCGCCTATGCATACGGACAAGAATAACATTATTTCATCCCAAGTCTGATCTGAATTTGCGCAGAAGACTACCGACGTGCCCTGTTTGCCTTAGTCGCTGCTTCCGAAAGATGCGAAAGTAGCAATCAAACGGGTCTCCAAGTCGTCAATGTCGACAGTGACAACACAAAACATTGTGATTTAGCTGCTTGTCAACACGTGAGACAACGGCGTTTGTCGGGCAAGACGTTTCTTGCACCGCACACTAGGAAATCTTCACCTGATCACTTTCCACGTGATGAAATCAAGAGGTCCAAAAACCATGTCCGTCCCGAACACTTCCGTGATGCAGTCGGGCAACAGGTTAGCCTGTTCCGTTTGTTGAGTCGACCGCATGCAAGCGGGCTTGATGAAAAAAATAACATGCATTGCCGACTCTCGCGATTTGATTTGTTCTTGTCTTCGTCGCTGAATATGTTGTTGCTCTTGTCGTTGATATTCTTGTTGTCGTGTGTGTTGCCAGTTACGTTTCATCACCTTCCTCTCCCGCACCAACGGGGGAAACGTTCCTGTGACCACAGTTTGACAAACGCTCAGGGAGTCCCGTAAACCTATTTCCCTTAATATGACAAGTGCAAACAACCACAGGGAACTCATCACAATTTGTTTTCAGAGGACAGAAATATTGGCACGTCATGGATGAACGTTGTTGACGTTTTGCATCCACGAATAGAACGGATCTCTTTCTTTCGCGAAGACATGAGGCGAGATTCCACCAAAACCACAATAACGTTGACTACGAGATGAAGTGAGACAATGAAATCGACGATAAAATATCGGCTCACCTCCCGCCCGAAAATGTCAGCTACAAGGTACTTGAATCTCGTATTGGCAAGGGAACGCGTCAGAACATCCCTGCTAGGAAAGCAAATGATGCGAAATGTTGAAGTAACATATTATTTATTCGTGCTCGGGTCGGACCCCGACTTTACCTTCGTGCCTCCCGTATCCCCAAGGGTATTCTGCCTCTGTCACAAATCTCGCTTCTTGCTCGGGCGTCACGTCTTCGTCTCGATACACAGCCACAACTCCAACCGCCCTACTGTGCCACGTTTGGGTTAGATGGACAACTGCGGCCGCCCTCTTGGTCGAATTCTACGTTGCTGCACACCCAAGGCACCGTGAGACAAATGGACCCACAAGCCGTTGCTGAAGCATCCCGCGGAACAAGCAGAACATACAACACAGACATGATCGTTTCAGGATTGACATAGTCCGCCCATGCACCGCAGTGTCGCCGGTGAAGGTCTCACGACGAGTTATAATAATATTGGTAGTTGTCGTCCAACACGAAACGATGTAACAGAAAGCCCTACCCAACCTTCGTAAAACCAGATGCTAAAGAACGCCACCCACTCTGTTTCCGACGTAGGTCTCGAGTTTGATGTACAGCAGCTCTTCGGAGTTCTCCGGTAGATGCATCCAAGCGGCAATCTCCTCGAAGGTTTGCTTGAGTGTACGGGCAGTGTTCGGGCAGCCGGTAGCGTCACCGTAGTCATAGATGCCCAAAGCCTGGAAATAACAGTGCCGGATATGTCAATAGTCTCGGAAGACTAGCAGTGAATCTGAAAGGTCATACCTATACTGACAATGGTGGCAATCAAGTGGTTGAGCAAAGTCGTTTGTTGCTCGCCTCCGTCACTATGGTTGACATTGGGATACATCCTTGAAGCACCATTCCTACTCCGGGTGGAGATACGGACAGTAGGAGCCTGAAAATGCTCGGTTTTCAGGAAATTCTGTATGCGTACAGGTTTCTTGTACCGCCCCCTTCCTTTGGCGATCCGGAATCCCTTCAGAGCTCCCTATTTAGTACAACGATCGTTGATGCAACTGTACCATGCACCCCTCTTGACGAAATTGTGTCCAAAAGATAATCTAATGATGGTACTGTATGTGGGTATACTGCCGTCCGTTGGCGTTGTAATGGCCGTTGTACCAGCGTACGATGATACCTAAAGTTCGCGGTTGCTGGTAAGATACTTGTTTTATCCGCCTGTCAACAGCGTTGTGTACACCGTCGTTCCCGTTGTTCAAATTCAAGGGTAGTCGTGGGTGGCGGTGGGTGAGTTCCATTCCGTGCGTCCTACCTCGCAAAGGTACCAGTGCATACGGGAACACGCTGCCTGTATCTCGAAGGCATAAGAAGAATGGGTGTGACACACAAGAGTGGCTTCGCCCTCGCTTGCACCGTCCCGTGCAAGCTCCTCGACGAAATGGATGTCCAACTGCGCGACGCAGGAGGAGCAACACACAGCGAAAGGAAGCGCCCCCAGCATCACAATGAACAAGACATGATTGTAGAAGGCGCGAGCGTAAGAGACGTACGTCTCTTCTATACATATATATATATATGCAGGAGTATGCAAACTATATTCCAGCCTACGGTACGAGGGATGCTCTAAGATGGAACGGGAACGGGAAGTTTGAGACGCGCACTTAGTTGTGTACCCGTTCGTCTCTGCCACCGTACTCTGCCACCCAATTTCACCATGTTCTACACCGAATGGTTTTTTTCACGGAAATGCGGAGGCCAGAACGCGACAAGGGAAGTGACCCATTCGTCTTCGGTGGAACGTACCGTCAGTAAGGTAGTTGGCAGCATCTACGTGCACAGAGTTTACAGATAGCGCACCAGAGAAAATTGTGGTCTTTGCGTTCAGGTATTGTGGCGAAACTCCACGTGAGCGAGTACCTGTGGCTCAGCCATTGCTTAGACATTGTCCGACAAACGACGGCCTTACTGCAGAATGTATGGTTTTCTTTCTGAAGTGGGTAAAGTATTGAGCTGGAGTTGTACACGGAAGAGGGAACTGCCTGAACAAGCTTTGGCCAGAAAACGGAAGTCTTCGATGAAAAGTATTCTGAACTGCACGAGGAAGCGTTCCACGCACAACGTTTAACCACTCCCGAGCGAATCTTGCAAAGAAAAACAAGCATGCATGTAAATTATCCGCCTTCGTTTCGTCCTCCTCTCGTGCTTCGAATGAATAACATCGGCAGAAACTGACGTGCTTGTTGAATAATGTGGTGAGAAACGGGGCATCATGCGATATGGGCTGCGTGTACCATAATATTGGGGTTGCGAGGTCGTGCTGACAAGGTTCTCTCTCTTCCATGTTGGACGTATGTGCGTTTCCAGCTGTGTGCTGACCTTTGAAAGCCTCGGCACGCACTGATTGTCGCCATTCCCGGTCTTGGTCAACCCTATCCTTCTTCTATGTATCAAAAGTACAGTGTGGAAAAAAATCGCAACACAATAAGGGCTACTAATAGACGTATGTCATACCTCGAGTCCCCTAACTCCAAGGCAGGACAGCTGCTGCGTCAGGCTATACACTTGGTTGGGCACTACCTGCAGGAAAATGTTGGGGTTTACGTACACAAGCAATATCGTGTGAGGGGTACTCATCAACATGCGGCCGCATGTCTACCTTAGGTCAGCATATTGGGTTCTCGTTGATCACACAGGTATTGACTGCACTGGGCACGTATATTCCGCAAGGTGTAGGGCAAGTTGCATCCAAAGTATCCTGGTCTTCGGTAGATATTCTTACAACCAACAAAGAAAGGAAAAACAGCAAGGGTTGCGATCAACGCCGTGCATGGTGCGAAAACCCAATGTACCCTCACGGGCCGTGGGCTAGGATAAGTCCTGCACTCGTTCATGTGCCGTGAGAAACTTCTCCCTTCATCATAACACTTTTCGAGTGCATACGCATGGAGACATCAAATCCACTACTTCCCCGTTGATGGCAGCCACACCACCATTGGGTAAGAACGCCAACTGGCATCATAATGAAATACTAAATCGTTGAGAACTCTAAACCTCTTACCTCCCATTCGATGCTCACTCCTTCCTCTTCAGTATTGTACGAGTTGTGAGTTGCGATCATGGGCACCTGGTCCAGCGGCATGTCATACCTGTAGGAAGACGCATCCGCAGTGGTGATAAGACTTCCGATTATGCCACATACTTGCCGCTAATCCGAACCTCACTTCTACGGAGGGAACGATCTCTATTGGAAAGTGGAAGGGGGGGTTACGCCTTTCATCCACTATGTCGTTGGTGAAAGTCTTCATCAAAGTCCAAGCAAAAAGGTGCTTGTACCTAGAAATTGCCATCGAGCTAGAGGCCACCGTTTTTGCGTCGAAACTACAGTGGCATCTGGAACTTGCATTTTGTGATGGGAGCTTGAACGGAATACGGTGGCAAGCAAGTCCATGTACAGCTCTTTTTCCGTCAAAATAGTAATGCTTCGAGGCAGAAAGACAAAACCCGTTTGGAGAATAAAAAGAGGATCTCGTCACCATGCGGGCGAGGGAAAATTGTGTGCAATCAGCTCCAAGCCTAAAAAATTGTGTTCTTCATGACCGTTTGCATCCGCCTCTTGAACACACTGTTCTAAACCATTCGTGTTTTTCTTGAATCTTTTCTCTTGAACGGTAGCTGCCACTGTATGGTCTTCGAACATGGTTCCAGCTCCCAACTTCAACAAGACTAAGCTGTTCTCACACATTCAGCCAGCCACAATCGTAAGGACAAAGCAAAAGAGACATTTCAAAGTATGACAAATCAAGAGCTCTCGAGCTGCCGTCCACTCACGCTAGGAACCGCTGCAGGGCGGATGCGCGAAGCAGCCACGGCGACGTGTTCGGAGATTGCTGCTGGGCGGCGCTGACTGTGCCACGAAAAGGCAAGTTGATCGCCCACCACCACCAAAATACCGTCTTCGTCGTCGCAGAAGTCGCAGACGGGGCAACCCCCGTCCGCTGCCGCTGCCGCCGCCGCCGCCTCCACTCACTTGGTTCAATAGAATCGGCAGCCTTCTCTCTTTCCGTTTTGCTGGCTCGAGCTTCCCCTTCTCTCCACCCCCCGATCGGGCCCGACATGACAAGCTCTACTCACACTTGGCAACAAAGGGATCGCCGTTTACTATGGAGCGCGTCGGGAACTTGACAACTCCTTCCTGTTGATGCACAACTGTTTGTATGATGCACCGTTGCTGGAAGGCCTGATGGGTTCGTGAGGATGATGTCGACAAGACGTGCCCATAACGACATGGGTGATTTCGTGGTCGATGTCGAAAAGAGGAGAGCAGTCTGAGGAATGGGACCCCACAACATTGCTGAACATTGCCATCAGAGAAGCATGCACGTAAGCAGTTGACTGCATGTGGAATGATACGTTCCTACACTGGACTATAGCTAGCGTTCACATGTGCCGCAAGGTGGTGCGACGGACGTGGAAGTACGCTGTTCCC